GATGAGTATGACTATGATGCTCAAGAGGTGTTTGAACCCGATCCAATGAACACATCGTTGACAAGAATATATGAAAGGCCGATTGGACCAAATGGACTACCACTGGAGCCCGAACCCATACTTCGGGATGGTCAATTCAACAACCCCATGATTGATCGGTATCAAGAAATGCAATCTTCATATGTTCACGAGATACGTCAACGTGACTTGATCGAGCACTTGTGGGAGATCAAAGGCAATCACAATGGATGAAGTGCTTTGTTTGGAATTATGCTTTGTTTTGTGTGTGGTTTTGTTTGGAATTATGCTTTGTTTTTAATTATGCTTTATTTTGTGTGTGGTTTTTTTTTGGAATTATGCTTTTTATTATTATGCTTTTATGTATGGTTTGTTTTGTGTGTTGTTTGCAATCAATGAAGGTTTTTTTTAAATTAATATTTGTTTTGATGCTCAAATGTTTTTAATAAATAGTCATTTAATTTAAGGCTTTTTTGATTGAATAAAAAGGGAACAATTCAACAAATTAAAGGATAAGGGAACAATACAACAAATTAAAAGGATAAGGGAACAATACAACAAAGTAAAGGATAATACAACAATACAACAACTTAAAGGATAATACAACAATACAACAATACAACAACCTAATGGTTTTCATCATTTAACCAATCCGTATTGCTAGGTCCGTCGTCATTGAAAAGTTTTTTCCTCATCACATCTCTTCGTCGTAGCTTCCAATAAGCCTTTGTTTCGGGAGACATATGGCTCGTATCCATAGCCATGATTTTCATCTCTCTATCCTCTATGTCTTTTTCTTGTGCCATTTGTTGTTGGAGAGCATATGCTTCCTCTCGTGCCTTGTCCATTTCATCTCTTTTCAAGTCTCTCTCGATTCTTAGTGTGGCGCTCTTAGCTATTTGCTCCAATAATTGTACACAATCATTGCTCGAAGTGGCCCCTCTCTTGGCCTTTGCCGCCTTTCTCCCAATAGGTCTTGGCGGACGTGGAACAAATGGTGACTCCGTTTCCATTGGGGAGTCCAATGGAGAATCGGTTGATGTTGAATCGTGGAGTGGCGTCTCATTCATCACAACCGGCGGACCGGTGGGAATAATTTTGAACCTCGAACAATCCTTCACAATTTCCCAACATTGGAAATGCACGAAACTTTTTTTGCCTTGCCCCATGGCACCGAACCACATTTGTGCTTGTACCATCTATTAAAAATAAATAATTGGAAGTGCAAGAAACAAAAATTATTATGCAAGAAAATATAAACTATTTTGAAATGCAAAAATAAAATTGATTATGCAAGAAAATATATACAAATTAAAGGTGCACCAAGAAAAAAAAAATTATGCAAGAAAAACAAATAGAATATGCAATAAAAAAAAAAGTGACATTGAATTGATTAAAATGGCAATTATAAATATTTTACCTCATCGGTCAAATTTTGACCGCTTTGAATGTTCGCCTTTGCTTTTGTCAAGGCATTCCTCCATTTCCCTAACTCTTTATTAAGAAGTTTCCATCTACTAGACAACGCCATTTCGGTCCGAATCGAACCCGATCTTTGACAAAATTCTCCATGAATTTTGCTCCACATGTGATGAAACTTCATTTCATTACCCGTGATAGGGTCAGGACTAATGTTCACCCAAGATTGACACAACGCAATATCTTCATTCGTTGACCACGAGCCTCCGACTTCAATAGAAGATGCCATTTGTTTTTTTTTTATACAAATGGAAAGTAGTAGAAAGAGAGTAAAAAATATTGGAAGGAGAAGAGTTTGTATGGAGAATTGGTGTGGAAGTGAAAAATGTGAGTGGAGATGAACAAAAAAATTGGAAGGAGAAAAGTTTGTATGAAGAATTGGTGTGGAAAGTGAATAATGTGAGTAAAGAGTAAAAAATATGGGATGGAGAAGAAATTGTATGAAGATTTTAGTGTGGAAAGTAAATAAAATGGTTAGGTATTTATAGAGAAAAAATACAGAATTTTTGGGTTTTTTTTTAAAAAAAATTCAGATTTTTTTCGATTTTTTTTGCAATTTTTTTAGCCAAAAAAACGAGGACCGTCGGATTTCTGGAAAAATTCCATCGGAGAGTCCCCGTCGCGCCACGTGGCGCCCGCCCGTTGGAGCTGTCAGTGGTGACGTCAGCGCTGGCGTCACGCTGACGTCAGCGTGATGCCAGCGCTGACGTCACCAACTCGGGCTTCAGCCCGGGCAAGATTTGCCCTTGGGCTTCCTCGGGCTCGTGGGACCCGCCATCAAACTGGGCTACGGGCCCTGCGCTGGAGTGAACTCGGGCTGCCTCGGGCAGCCTTTCCCCCCTAGCCCGTCAGCGCTGGAGATGCTCTTAGTATCAAATTCTGAGGTTGAATTTATAAACCATCTAGGTGAGGATGGTGATATCAATGGACAAGCTGGGCTTGAGCCTTGGGCGGGATGTCTCCAAAGTACGAGTGCATGATAACTTCTTTAGAGTTCCAACTGTTCATATTTTTTTTAAATAAAAAAATTCAGAGAAATATTTATCACAATGAGTCTAGCATAAGGAACATGCCAGGAGATTGTATAAATTTCAATTTGTGTTTAGGTTTAAAGTATTAATAGAACAAGATGTCGAGACAATACGGAGAATTGGAGAAAATTTCAAACCACACCGTTTATAATGTGATTCATATTCCTCCTCAAATAAAAATATAATGTATCATAAAACATATAATTTTTTCTTCTTTAAAAAAAAAACATAAACTACATCTGACTGTATGTGACACCCCGACCCAATTTTAACAATTAATTTAATTTATTTATTTGAGAAGTTACAATTTTGCCCTCGGGTAAGGTCACGATAGTCATTTGTCAATTTGTGTGTATTTTGTGGATTTGAGTAGCATTGTTACATAGAGCGTGTCGATACGAGTTCATAGACATGTAGTGGGCTCAAATCGGAGTTTTAACGAAGAAGTTATGATCAACAGAAGTGCAGTGGCACAATCGTAAATTTGTTGAAATCTCTATTTTCTCTGTCTTTCTCTCCGGCGACGACACCGCCGCTTTTGAATGCGATTCCGGCCCCGTCCGGCCCCGTCTGGCCACCAAAAAAGTGAATGATTTTACTTTCATAGACACAAACAATTGTGTCTTCATTTGACATATGTGACAACATGATTCACAAAACCAATATTTGTGCCCAATATATATGTTTTTGACATAAATGGCGTTGAATATATATATATATATATATATATTTATTTTCATTACTTAAATCGTGCCCAATAATTTACACGTAGTAAAAAATTTATTTTTATTCACTTAAAAACCCCACGCCCTTTAACCAAAAAACCACGATCCCTCATCTTTCCAACTCTAAAAAATATCTCACCTTATCGTCTGAAATTTTCTCAGTAGCCCACCATTCTCCTTTTTTGAAGTCTTTCCCACTTGAAGACCTCTCTCTCTCTCTCTCTCTCTCTCTCTCTCTCTCCCCCCCCCATTCTCTTGAAGCTCTCTCTCCCTCTAGCTCTTTCTCTTAGTTCGACGCCGCTGCCATCCATGACCCCCACCTAAACCTAAACCTCCATATTTTGAAAAGTTCTCTATTCTTCACTCCTCTGAAGATCTATCACTTGCACCAGTACCACTAGAGGTGTCAAACAGACCGGGTCAGCTCAACATGGCCCGCTTAAGTAAGGCACAGCATGGCCCGTATTTTTGGGTCGTGTCGGGACGAGGTAATTAAGTCCAATGGACTGAGCTGGCCCGTAGTCCGTCATGGACCCAGACTACCCTTGGCCCATCATGGGCCGAGCCAGCTTGTGGCCCGTCGTGGGCCAAGTCGACCCGAAATTCAACGGGCCAGCCCGTTTAAAGCCCATATATTAAATTATACTTGTTTTAGGAAAAAATAAAACATAATATTACTACATTTATATCTTAAATTCAAGTCTATTTCTTTTCTCTAATAATATATATTAAAATTAATATTTTCTTTATATATAAAATAATGATTTTGTTTTTCAAGTTTCAATTTTTAAAACCCACACAATAATCTAGCCATTTTCTATTTAAATGTACTTTAAATTAAGTTATTGTCCTCTTTTTTTAACAAATAATAAATCTTATTGGTATATACATAATTGCAAAAAAAGATTTAAATAAAGTTGTAAAAAAATTACAACAAAAAAAGCAATACATAAGTCAAATTTGGCGTGGACCCATATCGGCCGGTTTAGTGGCCCGACACGAGCACGGCTTGAGCCCATATAGACTCGGGCCGGGATTGATGATTTTCCTAAATGGGCGGGCCCAACACGACCCGTTTATTAAATGGGTTGACAATAAATAGACCGGACCGGCCCAACACAACTCGTTTGACACCTCTAGGTACCACCCACCACCACCACCTCCACCACATCTCTCCTCTCATTCTTTCATTCTTAGGTTTTGGTTTTTGAGTGGTCAAACCAAAAATAAAGAAGTCTAAGCTTCTGTTAGGCATGAACTCGTAGATCAACATTTGAATATTAATGACATTGAATTGCAGCAAAAATGTTCAAAGTATATTCAGTACAATTTCAAATATGTAGGGGTATTTTGGGAATCTAAAAATTACAATAAATCAATATTGAGCTTGATAAGGTACCTTGATGAGGTGGATTCTAGTCATGGATTTTTACTTATAAAAAATGAGTTTTATTAATAGGAACAAAAAATAATGGGTTCCAGTTAAGGAAAATTCAATTTGGAGGGGGGTAAGCCAAATTTACTATAAATAGAACATTATACAACTTGATTGCCATCCCAGTTTGTATCCATTACCATGCCATCGGCTATTAGTGAGATTAACTAAGGACTGACTAGTAGATGAATAATACACTACTACAAAAGTACCATAAGTGATAAAAAAAGAAGTGAACTAATGAAGAAGGTTTTTGAGTGGTCAAACAATAAATAAAGAAGTCTAAGGTTTTGTTAGGCATGAACTCGTAGATCAGCTCATTTCATCTTCTCGATTGCAGCATCCCAGAAGCTTCACTATATTCCTGTGCTGAAGTTTGACAATATGTGTAACCTCATTCTTCAACTCATTGAGTCCTTGTCTAGGATGTTTTGAGAGCCTCTTCACAGCCATGTCTTGTCCATCTTTCAGTGTACCCTGAAATCCAACAGCGGCCAAGTCAAATAATGGTAATTCCAGATCTTCCCTTTGGCTGGGCCTCAGCTTTATCTTCTGCAGACAACGAAAATCGATGCACTCCTTCCCCAATGTCATACTTTGCTCTTTGCATGCAACTGAGACATATAAGAACAATTATAATATTTACCTTCAGAAAGTAAGATGTCAGCAATTTCATATTAACTGATTATGTACTATTATCTTCAAATATCAGCATCTATTTCTATCATTTGGAATAATGAGGTCGTATTTTGTTTGGCCTGGGTGATCATTATAGTTTATAATCGTTATAAACTACCATTTTCTTACAGGATAAACTACCATTTGCAAACCAGTGATCTATAACCAATATCCAAAAAGCAATCCATGCACAAGAACCAATTGATCATCATATGAATTCCCAAAGAAGAAAAGGCTTGTAACTCACAGGTTAAGTAGCTTAGATGGTGCGGGACGTAATACAGTTAATGCCTCCTTCCACTTCCACTGGCATTCAGATAACGAAAGAAGACGCTGCAAAATTGACAACTGCCATTCCCATTCTTCAATGAAATGTTTAGCAATTGACGCTCTCCACTCCAATGCTTGTCTTCCACCCCTACTTACGCCATCACTTAGAGCATGATCTAGTTCAGTTATAGTTGAAGGAAGACAGTGATGTAATATATCAAGTAGTTTCCCCGTGAAAGATACAACCATTTTGTTTCCCTCTTCTCGTGTTAGATCAGTTTTCTCTGAAGCACATGTGTAATGTAATTCAGATTAGCTCCATGCTAAGGCACAATGAGCCAAATTGAGACAAAGATCATCCATATGTAAAAGCGAACTTTTGACATTCGCCATCATGATCTCCCACATCCCCAGCCCCAACTTCATATACCAATATCTCTACTTATGAGTTATCGCCCCCACACACAACAAGAAATAAATAAATAGGAAAACGACTAATTTTAGATATCCAAAATATGTGTAAACAAATAAAGTAGCAAAAAAGGATGGCAGCATAATAAGTACATGGTTATTTGTAAACCCCAGCTCATAGAATCAAGAAATACTTCATATATGCAGCCATGGTTGATGCAGGAAAATTTCGTTCTTACGTAATATGCAGGGGAAACCAAGTGCACATAATCTGCAACAATCAAGCATAACCCAAACTCTGCAACCCCCCTGCAAAGAGGCTCATAAACCCAAACTCATACTCAGTTTTGGCAAACTGAGATAGACTACAAGTTAGATGCATAACCCAATTCAAAATTCATAATTGAAAGTCTGATTTCTCTGCTCTCTTCCCTGCAAAGCAAACCTAAAATGCTATCTAATTCATTTATCACAATGAGAGTGACAAGGTGCCTCCATTTGTGTATAAAGACTCATGATTCTCTGCTTCCAGAAACCAAATCAATAGCTTTGCTCTGCTTCCCTCTAATCAAACAAAGGTTTCTTTATTATTTTCTTCTATTATTTTATAATTATATTTTTGTTATTTTCTAATACATTGTTGTTTAATATGTTTTACAACTTGTAGGATTGTTACAACTCTTGTTTAATATGTTTTACACCTTTATGAGTTACTAGCAGAGTTTGATTATGATTTCTACTTTTGCACATGAGTTTGTGTTCCACTAGGATTGAGTGTGAAGCCCTTCTTACAGGAATGGCTAGCGAATGATAAAATGACGAGACTTAGAATAGTTTGCTGGATCTTAAAGTTGTCAGTTGGATGTTTTGTAATTGGTAAATAGTTTGCTAGATCTTAAAGGAATTAATATTATTACAACAACATGGCCTCGCCAAACTAGAAAGAAATTATCAATTTAAACTAAGACAACTTGATCAGCTTTCACTAACTATTAAGTAACTACTCAATCAATCATCCATATAGGAAACAATTAAACTAAGACAAGTAAACAATTTCATCACATGATGATGAAATTGATCAGTCCACTATAACTAGATTATGATAGTCTTGGCCAGAAATGGCAGCTTCCATGGCATGTTCGGGGCCAAAATCCCCACCATTGTCCAGGAAGAACTTGACCAAATTGTTGTTGACGAAGCTACTCAACATGGTGAAGCCTAAGCCTGGTTGTGTATTAGGCATCCCCAGAACAGACATGTGTGCCCTGATATTCCAATACACAATATGTGGCACCACATCCCCATATCCATTCTCCTTAAACTTTCTCTGCATTGCCTCAAAATCACTAGTCTCCCATCTATAAAAGGCCCCCCTTGGAGGGAGTGAACACATACACCCTTTCGATCATCTGCTCCAACTTCAAATTCTCATACACAGCCACTCTCAGGATCAAATCAAACACCTTTTCAAAATTAACCTCAACATCCCACGGGCCTAGTTTTGTTGTCATAAACTCATACTTGGACTTAAGATTATCGCCTTATATGGAAACTAGCCGAGGGTTCTCATTGTAGGTGATCACCTTTCCGTTCCATGGTTGTTCACTCAGTTGAGACAACATAAGCCCCAAACCCACTGACACTTCATTGTTTGACCCGACATCACATACAACCAAACACTTTTAAACTTGCCTTGCTTTAAGTAGATGTCCTCTATCATGGTCTTCCACTAAAGATCAGCCGCAGCCATTAGATCATGCACATCGTCATCGTCATTATCCATCCTTCTCTTCAGATAGCCTATGATCTCATTTGGAAGCAGAGCACCGGCCTTAATCTTGGACTTTGACAACGTCCTCCAAATAAGTATCAACCGCGCAGGGCTCTAGCTTGAACCCTGGATCATAACCCCATTTGTTGCCACCGGTATAAGCCGGGGTGGCCAAGGCTTTGTTCAATGGCACCAAAACCTCCTTCCACAACCGCTTCCTGATTCTGTACGAATAATCATCGTCAGCCTCCTTCGATTCTACTCCTCCTCCTGGTGGGAAAACCTTTTTTGCAATGCTCTCGCAAAGCAGAGTGGCGGGATTATAAAAGAAGTCAATGTGAGGGAAAAAATCCGCCGCCATGGTTATCTCCAAGCACTCAGGCTCATCCTGGTTATTTGTGATTAATATAATATCACACCAAATAGAAAGAGTATAACATAACATAACATAATTCAGAACCGCAACTTTGCTTCACCCAAAACCAAAAAAAAAACACAATTTCTAATTATCAAGCTGTTTGTAAATCTCTAAATAGGCAAGGCAACAATTGTTATTTAACATATAGTTGCCATTGCTCTGTTTTTTTGTGTCTTTGAACTTTAGTTTTGGGTTATCCTGTAAATAGGGGTGGGCATCTCATCCGAATTATCTGCGTACCGACCGTACCGTACCGATGGTTTGGTTTGGTTAAATAATTATTTTTTAATTTTAATTATTCCGATCCGATCCTTATCGAGATATTTGGTTTGGTTAACCGAACAATATTTCTAACCCGACGAAAACTCGTACCGATTAAATATTTATATTTATTCTATTATTTAAATACAAAATAAGAAACTAAAGATAAATACAATCAGCACTTTGTATCACTCCTTTATCACTGTTGTATCACTTCTTTATCACCATTCTATCACTGCTTTATCACCATTCTATCACTTCTTTATCACTCGGGTACTATAGCACTTTTTGGTCAGAGATGAATTTATGAATTTCCTATGTTTTCCAGTTTCGACCTTTGTCCCCTTTTTTACTTGTAACTTTCCAACCGTTGATCCAAATTTTATTTTCTTTATATGGTTGGATTCAACATGAAAAACTAAAGAACCCTACGTGAAACAAATGTCAAAATCATTTACATAAATGTAGAGAATTCAGTAAAAATAATACTCAAATGTTCAAACAACAAACACAAGTGGCTCCCATCACATCTTGAGTATATATTGAATGATATAGTGACTAAGTTATTTGATTTCATACTTGGATGAATTAGACTATTGGATTTTTATATTTTACAAGGATAATTTGGTGTATTTGTTCAAGAACTTATGTTTTGTGAAAATATTATAAATTGTATTTTTATTAGTATGTTTTTATTACAGTACTACCGGCGTACCGAACAAATCCGAACCGAATATTAGGTTAACCGATCCGAAGTCTACCGAAGTCTTTGGTTTGGTTAACGGAAGAGCCTTCTACCGTTCCGAACCGATCCGTGTCCAGGCCTACCTGTAAACAACAACAAAATCCACAACTAGAGATCCTACGTAGTATGACTCATTGATCTCATTAACTTCATTAATGCTACTGAACACATGGAAACGTTCAAATTTTATCACATCAGTCGTAAAGTGAAACGCATATGCATTGATTCGAAATGCAATGGGGTAAGTGGACATGAATGACGTATGAGCATATCTATATCGACGATTCGCAGCCACCCAAAAATCTCCTGATGATGATGATGATGTTGTTGCTCTTGTTTCTCATGTTAACTGGATATCCCAGAGTATGGTAATAATTTCTGATGTGTTAGCTTTTGGACCTGTGAGCCAAAACTTTTGGATTCTTTGTAAAGTACTGCATTCAAAAACAAGGACAAATGAATCGTCCTTACTAACCGTCGTCCCTAGCAGCAAAGAAAGTCCTCTTAACAACACTATTACTTCTTTTGTTTGTGGATCAAATTGCAACAGGTTTCCAATTGTGTTGTGCTTAACATTTGCCTTATGCATGTCACTGCAAACATACATACAGTCCTGTGTTTAATTATGTAGCACATGTTACATTATTCGAATAATCAAGCTTTCCTCTTCTCTTCTTTTTCCTCCTCTTGAACAAGAACTCAAACCCAATGAACATTTCCCCTCTATTAAGGAACAAGCAATTTCTAAAAAAGAAAAAAATTTAAAAGTAATTTAATCAATGCATTGCCAGAAAAGCACCATTGCCTAAAATCAATGGAATATCATGAAGTACAGGCTATAATATAGGATAGGCGTTTACACCTCAAACATAAACAAAACATTCCAATTTCATGGAAAAGTGGGGAAAGACTTACAACTGCCCTAAGGCATGACTTGTGTACTACAAGGGTGACGAAATCATACATAAATTTCACATGTTTTTTATATTGGCTTAAAATTCTTGAAGATCTTCCAACTCCGCATCAGAGAAGCCTGCAAAATAGAGTGTACAGCAAGTTCACCTGTTTTTCAAATGGACTAAAACTTCTTGAAGATCTTCCAACTTCGCACCAGAGAAGCCTGCAAAATAGAATATCTTGTAACCAAACAAGGAAATCCAACGTCCTAAAATAAGTTTGAATTGCAAGACCAAAAGTTGAACATAATACTCCATAGCTATTACCTTTGCCAATACCCATCATAGATGGATCTCTGTGTGGGTTGTAAATCTTATCTGCTTTATTGTGTTCAGTTTCTTCTATCTTTCTGGTCTTCAGCTTTCCTATTTTTGTCCGAAGTTCTGACGCTGTCTTCATCATCTCTGTATAAAACAAAAATCTACTAAAACTTTTCGTCTTTTAAGATACAGCAACAGAAACTCAGGATCCAAAACAGTTAATACAAACACAACTTGAACGCGTAAATGTATGGATTTTCCCACTCAGTAGTCTGAAACAAGAAATGGTAAAAGTAGCAGATTACTAAATACAAGTTTTCCTGAAGAACAAATATGATTGTAACTTTGTCACTTTCAGGGACCTAGCAGCCAGAAAGTTACTAAAAGTACAGGACAGACTAAAAAACTATAAGACATCTCTGCCTTGAGTTGAGGTTTAACATCAGAAGTAGTTCAGAACAAGGTCTAATCACCTAATATATTAGAAGAAAAACCTTCATAAAGCTAAATCCATGTATTTTAGTATTATGAGTTAAAACGGATGCTAAAGCACACTAAGTTTGAACATATTTGGCAGGAGTATTTAGTTAGTTACCTTGGAACATCTCATGATAAGAGTTTTGGTCATATAGTAGCGAAATCTCATTGAGAGCAGAAATATGATCGTTAGAAGCAGACTGTTGTTCTAATGATTGGAGCTCTCGGTTCAGCGCAGCAGACTCCTGACCAACCTGTAAACGTATTTTGTTAAAATAGATGTCAATCAGGAAATGAAAGAAATCACAATTTTATGCAGACAAGAGATCCTTGCTACTTCTAGTATATAGTAATTACCTTAGTAAGGTTGTTCCTTAATAAATCCAACTGGGCATCCAAGTCTGGGTCACAGATTGCATTTTGACATATAGAAGGTGTCGACAGGTGATTCATCCTGGAAAGTAATTTTCTTCAGTTATTGAATTCTACAAGGTTTATGGAATGGAAAAGTATTACTTCCAATGTACACACTCCACATTGCAATTTCTATAAACCAATTATTTTCTAGGCTACGGAGAGGGATAGAAAAAAAATGAATAAAAAGAATAAAACAACTAAAAGCACATAAGGTTTTTCAAAAAAAAAAAAAAAAAAAAAAAAAAAAAAAAAAAAAAAAAAAAAAAACCTACATAAATTTTGGGCAGCATGAACCCCTCAGGAACTTGAAAAAAGTGGTTATGGCAGTGCTGCTCCCACATAGCTAGCCGCTTATCAATATCTGATTGAACCTTTTTGCGGATAACATTAATACCCTACAGAGAAAAACAGATAAATAACTGACCAGACCCAACAAGAAATTTATTTATTTTTTATTTAAAGATTGCATCTCCTATTAGTTAGAATGAGAAAAATATAATCCTCAACCAAATTTGTTTAAATCCATGGTGAAAGGCGTTTGTTTCATTTGACCTTATGAAAATCATCCGATGTAATGTGTCAAGCACCAAGAGAATTCAAAGTTAAAAAAAGCTAAAATTCAAGTTTACTAATAATAAGGACCAACCCCCAAAAGAAAGAATGCGTTCACAAACAAACACATCAATTCGAGAAATTTGTATAAAGGAACAAGCCCTCGAATTATGGAATGAATTGAAATGCTAACAAATTAGGCAAAACAAGAAAAAAGAGAGCAAGGAGTGAAATTTATACCTTGGATAAATCTTGGGTTCTGTCAGTGCCCTCGATCTTCAGGGAGGTTGATGCTTGTCTGGAGGAAATCATCAGAAAAATAAAAAAGCCATAAGCAGCTGCTGAATTAGGTTTTCAGATAGAGAAAGAGAAAGAGAGAGTTACTGGTGGAAATGATTGCAAGCGTCATCGACCAAATCATCGACGAGGTTGAAGACCTCGTTGATAAACAGCTGCGGATTAAAGTTCAGCGATTCGAACACTGCCTCGCTTTCACTGCCTTCCATTCTCGCAGTGGCTCTGTAAGATGGCGCACTTTGAAAAGTCTGGGAAAATTGGACTTGAATTTTGAAAGTGGAAATATTTAGGAGAACAGAGCGGACACGTGGAACCACGGCATTCTGCCACGTCAAGTTTAATCTGTCTCCTTTTTTTCTTTTGTTTTTAATTTTTTTGTTTTTTTGGTGTAGGAACTCACAACTGAAGAAAGGCCCTAAATTTTTCACTCCAAATATATTTTTTGTTTTTCTAATTTGTCGGTGGCTACCAGAATGTTTCCGAAATTTCAAAAAGCATCTGAAAAGTTGCGGATGCTTTTACAAAACAGAGCCAATTTTAGTGCGTTTCGAAGCCACACAAGCATGGCGAGGAAGAGCTCCAAAGTTCAAGCTCTCTACGAACTCTGTCAAAACATGTTCACGCCGTCGGGGTCTCCTCCCCCTTCTTCTGCAGCAATCAACAAGCTTTGTTCTGTTCTGGGTATTTCTTTCGTCTTTAATATATATATATATATATATAATTACATGGTTTCGTTTAATATCATATGTGAAGTGTGTAACCAAAGTTTGGCTCAATTTTGCATATTGGTTTTGCAAATTATGTCGAAACTCAAATTGAGTTTGCCCGTTTTGGTGGTGTAATTGAGAATTGAGCGATATATTTAGGGGGGTTTCGTTAAATTGCTAGAATATATTGATTTTGAAACTCTACTTGGTCTTGGTTCTAAATTCTAATGGAATATCCTACATTGCCATATAATTTAGCAGTGGACTAGGTTAGCATGAAATATGTGAAACTTGAAGTAATTAAGGCTTGTCTGCAAAGTGAGTTTAGATTCATAACATGCATTGTTACTCTAGTATGATATTTGCTCTAAAGAGAGAGACTTTACCTCCAAAATGCTAACTTAATTACTGGATTGCTCGTCAAGGTGAAAAACCACTTGGATGAAGAATCATGTTTCTTTCCCTTGTGCCATTTGTGTCCAAGTTTTGATGGTTTTTCCTTTTCTTGAGGATATAAATTTGGCTGATAGGGCTTTGTTGCTTATTGATGGTAATAGCTAGAGACCAATGCTACTTCTGATATAGATTTCCATGGCCTCTGGTATGTGGAAGCAGCTTGGTTGAACTTTTATATGAGGAATGTCTCATTATTGGTTAAGTCATAATGATTTCTTTGCTTTTGGCCTATTGTTTGTCACATGCATAAATTTGATTAATAATATTTGTCTTTTTTGCACAATAATCAATTCCTGCTTAAAACGTGTCCAACACGAAATATCAGATCTTGAGGCCTTAACTAAGAAAGATGATGACAGTTTCAGTTCCTTCCTAATAACTAGAAGACCAAGATACTCATATATGATTCATCATTTTTATAGTTAGGATACGCCATGTCACAGTATCTTGCCTTTATTTTTCTGATATTGGTTGGAATTCACAGACACAATGTCTCCAACTGATGTTGGTCTTAAAGAGGAAAATCTGGATGACGATCGAGGCCATGGATTTTTTGGACTTGAACAACTAAATAGAGTTGCTCGATGGGCTCAACCAATAACATACTTCGATATATATGAATGTGATAGTTTTACGGTAAGCATTTAGCAAAAAAGAAATATACTCTTACAGTTAGCTGTACCATCTTCTCTGTTCCATTCCCAAATCAAAATTCTATTTATGTTTTCCTTCGAGTTTCTTATTTACAGTATTTGGTGCTGTGAGAAACAAAAAAAGATGGATCCTTTAATGAATTTTTGACATTATATTCATTTGTGTCTTTTCATTGATGAAAAGAATCTATTTGTTGTAATTCTCCATAACATGACCATTGGGACCACCATTCATATAATTTATCAATCAAAAAGGAATTTAGATTGTTCTTACATTCAAAGCTCTCTGAAATTTATACTCACGGATTAAGTAAATGATTTTATGCAGATGTGTATATTCTGTTTTCCTACCTCCTCGGTCATTCCACTTCATGACCATCCTGGGATGACTGTTTTTAGCAAAGTTCTCTATGGCTCTTTGCATGTGAGAGCTTATGATTGGGTCGAGCCTGCCCAGGAAAGCAACGGACCAAATTACTTTCCAGGTCTGGTTTTTCATGTAGTTTTCAGCTTGTAAATGTCACAGTTACACTTCGTATTGCTGTTCCTATAGTTTCTTGGGCTTCACTCACACTGTTTAAAGATCTTTTTTCTTAGTATTTATTTTATGATAAAGTTTCTACTATCTTTTCTGTTGTTCTTTAATTATTAAGAAAATATTGTAGGTAATGAAATTATTCAGATGATTATATCATTTAGTCCAATAAAAAAGGCCATTTTAGTTATTTTAAAAGGCTAGATTCATGAGTGAGATACTACCAGAGAGGTCGTAAGAGTCATGCCCTTATGAATTGGCCCATGTTCTATGCTCATAATTTTCATATTTTGAGGGTTAAAATATGGGAGAACTGATGAAGTTTCCACCCAATACAGTGAGATTGGCAAAGCTGGCAGTTGACAAGGTTTTAACAGCGCCATGTGGGACATCAGTTTTGTATCCAAGGAATGGGGGGAATCTGCATTATTTTACTGCAGTCACTCCTTGTGCTGTCCTTGACATTCTCACTCCCCCTTACAGAGAAGATGCAGGCAGAAAATGTACCTACTACCGTGATTACCCGTATACTGCCTTTGGTAAGTAACTTTGGTTTCTAGTTAGAGTTTTCTTTCCTTGATGAACTTGTTCGCACTACAAGGAAAGAAAAAGATGAAAACTGATAATTATAGTTGTCTGCTAAACACTGTAGCTACTGGTAACGGAATTAAGATAGAGGATGGTAAAGAAGAGGAGTATGCATGGCTTGCTGAGACAGAACCAGATAATCTCTATATGCGCCCAGGAAATTACACAGGCCCGACTATTCAAGTTTAACCCTCATCAGTCATTAGTGACGATCACTAAATGAACCCCATGGTTCTTTGTGTTTGCTCCAGCTTTGGGACCTTAAGAGAGAAAACATTCCATTGTGGTTGACTACATAAGCCTAAGCAAAGAGGTAACTATGGCCCTCGAGCCTGCAGTTTATCATCAAGTGAATTGAAAGAAAAATGGAGCTTGTCGTTGGGTTATGATATCAAGTTTATGATCAAGTTAAGTCATCTGGACGAGTGACCTTCCTTGCTTGAGTGGCTTTCTTCATTAACTCAGGAAAGTTATGGTGGTTGCAATAGCTACAATGTTAATTATGAATGCACCCAACGATTTTGTTTGGCAATTTTTGTCCTATCTTTTTGTGTTTACCGGCATGCATGGCTTATGTAAGTTCATGTTACACCACAATTTCAATGGAGAATGCTTTTTAGAAAAACACAATATTTGGCCCTGATTGAAAAACAAGGTGGAATATAATATAGTACACAATAATACATTACATTACAATGCCACACAAGAATTACAAAGTTGAACTGGATACCAGTCGCGTTTGACCGGTTCCCTACAAACTCCTGAAGATGATTTGATTGAGACCACCAACATCTTTATTGACTAACAAATGTTTCTATTGAAGAGAAGACGCCTGGTGTCTTATGCCCAAATTCAGCACACGGAACTATTCAAATGACACCTAACTTTATAAGCTCTATCAAAAATTTCTGTAGATTTACCCAAAAATCTAAATAGAGTGGAAGCTTGGATAACTTGATAAATGCGGTTGTCTATTTCTTGCCTTAGGGTGATCTGAAAGCTTCACCAGCATAACGCACATTACCAAGCTCCTCTTCAATACGCAGAAGCTGCAAGCAAATCAGAACACAACAAATAAACAGATTATTTCAGCCGCTTTGACTTTTTAATGATTTGACCACGTTTGGGGAAGCAAGTTAAAAGTGAGTGGTGTTGGGGTAGTAGGAAAAGTAACACCTTACCTGATTATACTTGGCCAATCGCTCACTTCGGCAGGGAGCTCCTGTCTTTATCTATTACAGAAGAAAATGCAAAATTCAACTTCATGGCACCAATAAAATGAAATGATAGAGAGCATAGTTATAATAAAAAACTAACAAACCTGTCCACTAGCCAATCCAACAGAAAGATCAGCAATAAAGTTATCCTCAGTTTCCCCACTCCGGTGGCTGACCATCACACCCCAACCTGCAGCTTTTGCGTCAAGTGCTGCCTGAATAGATTCAGTTATGGTCCCAATCTGGTTAACCTGCAATTCAGAGGAAGAAAATAAGCTCAACCAAGTTCATCAACACAAATGGTTGTTACCATTGCACGGAAAAGAAAAAAACCAATACAGTTAAAGTTGCTTGCCTTCAAAAGTAGGCCATTGCATGCCTTCCTCTGAATGGCTTCAGCAATTTTCTTTGGATTTGTGACCAACAAGTCATCTCCAACAAGTTGGATATCAACTGAAGATTGAAGTGAAGCCCACGAGCTCCAATCATCTTGGTCAAACGGATCTTCAATGGACACAATGGGGAAGTCTTTTATAAACTCCTTGTACAGCTCGCCAAGGTTTGGAGGTGAGAGCACATGGGCCCCATCATTTGGTTGTTTCTTAAAGTTGAGATCGTAGTTCCCCTCTTTAGTGAGAAACTCTGAAGCCGCAACATCCATTCCAATTTTGATCTGCATCATTAACATTGTTGTGAGTTCACATAACACATTACTCTAATTTAATTTGCAAAAGATGAATAACGTCCTACCTTTCCTGTGTAACCAGCCTTTTCAATAGCATCAATGAGCAAAACCAGTCCCTCCCTATTATCCTGTACATTGGGAGCAAATCCTCCTTCATCTCCAACATTGCAAGCATCCTGTCCATATTTTGCCTTGATAATTCCCTTGAGTATATGATAAACTGTTTCAAGCAATGCACAACAGTTATGAGTTATCCACTGTGCAAAAAAAGGTGGAAACATGCTAAAGAATTTCTGGTCCATATAACCACTAGACGCTTCACGTAACTAAACCATATGTGCAGAAAATGAATAACAAATCTTGCTAACCTTCACTACCCATACGAAGTGCCTCAGCAAATGAAGTTGCACCTACAGGCAAGATCATAAATTCTTGCATGGCCAAATTATTTCCAGCATGGCTGCCTCCATTGATCACATTAAAGGCTGGGACGGGCATAACGAGCTCTTTTGTTCCAGACACTTCTTGGATGTGCTTGTACAATGGCACTCCCTTTGCTCCTGCACCTGCTCTACACAAGCTCAGAGATACTCCCAATATGGCATTGGCCCCCAGTTTTGACTTGTTTGGGGTTCCATCAATTTCCAACATAACGGCATCAACATCATTTTGATTTCTTGATAAACCAAAAAAAGGCAAAAATGTCAAGTTCATAACCAGCATACAGCAAAAATGTACAAAACAACATACAATTCACGCAAAACTTAATAATAAACATCAAGGCCAACAAGAACTGATGACAAGTTAAAAGAAGGGCAGGGAAATCATGTGTTAACTGGGCAAATTGTAATATCATATTATGTTACAGCTTTACAGTAAGCTTGATCACAGCCATACCAGCGAACTAAGTAGTCATCAAGTAATAGCATTTCATAATCACACATGTTTGTCATTGATAATTTGAAAACCAAAAGCTCACAAGTAGTAAAGTTTGAAGTAAAACTAGCTCTGCCGTGCCATTTGATGCCTAAAACTCAAATACAATTTTCCATAACATGCTCAAATTAATCAAGTCTTTCTAACATCTATTTTGCTAAACTATTATCAGAAATACATTAACTTTAAAGGTGAGTAAAAACAATAAGGATGAAATAAAACTAACCTGACATCGATGCCAACGAGCTTGGGTCCCAAAATCTCATTGATGTTTTTGACAGCATTGAGCACACCTTTGCCTCCATAAACGGCCTTGTCTCCATCTCTGAGCTCCAAGGCCTCGTAGATTCCAGTGGAGGCGCCACTGGGGACGGCCGATCGGTACAGATCGTCGGTGATAAGGTCAACCTCCACCGTGGGATTGCCTCTGCTGTCAATGATCTGCCTGGCCTTGACCGACTTGAGGCGGTACTCCTTGGAAGCCTTGGAGGCTGCGGAGGGTGCGACGGCGACAGAGCATTGGACTGAGCTAGAACGACGGGTTCTTGGGCAAGGGACGGCGCTGGATAGTTGGGGTCTTGTTTGGGGTTTAGAGGAAAGGAAGGGATTTTGGAGGAGGTTGGTGGTGGGCTGGGTAGCTAAAGCCATGTTTAAATCTTTGTTTTGGAGAAACAGAGAAGGGGTGGGGGGGGGAAGTGTTTAGAGGGAGAGAAGGTTAGGCGTGGAGATATATAAAGGGGTAGAAAAAATGTGAGAAAGCGTGGGAAAGTCCGCCGAAGTGCGATGAATATAAAGAGGGTAGTCGATGTTGTTGTTGTTGTTGGGTTGGTAGTGTTGTTGGACTCGGGAGATACGTTGATACAGAGAGGAGAAGGTAGGCTGTGACTCGTGAGAGACTGCGTTGTGTACCACGTGCAATGTGCGTGCGTGTACAATACTATAAAGGGCTGCTGAGTTGGCATGGTGGGACCTTCACCTACTTTAAATATATTACCAACACTAAAGTAGACTCTTGTGTGGGCCCATCTGGCTTAAGATATGAGATGGGCCCCTTTTTGTTTGAGGTAGATTTATATATATTGGGCTCCCGCTTGATCAACTATGGGCCTCAACTCGTACATGTGGTCAAAAGGCTGATACAAATTTTTTTTTCTTTCACTAGATAATTAAGGTGATTTGTTGCATCTTCGGCTCAACTATATCATTTGGCGAAGTAATAAAAGTGAACGAAGGAATAATATATGGTATGGTCATTGTCCTACAACTAACCCCTGTTATCTGATTACCTATTTAGTTACACTCTTCGTCCCCAACCAACCTGCTCACTCTCTTACTTATTTCCATACATAAACAATTTCTCACTCTAAATCAAATCGACTCTTATCTCTATTTCTATCTCTAACCCGATAACTTTTCCTAACCCTCTTTCTTGTTCACTCCAAGTTGTACCTAATTTGACAATATGCCTCCCTCTAGTGAAGCCTTATAACAAGAAGCATCGCCGGCTAAACAAACAAAATAAAACATCCAAGCTACAAATTATTTTTAAGTTAAACAAACAAGCATTGTCAGATTTTCATTTCACTATATATTCATAATAATATAAGATAATTAACAGTTGAGGTGCCATCATTAGTTACAAAGTTTGCACCTTATACAATTGCAACGAGTAATAGAAGAAGAGTTTTGTTAGGATTAAAATTTGTACAATCACACTATTTGTGGTTTTCTCTTCAATCCAACCAACAAAGCAAGGAATCCACTCACACTTTTATTCATACCAACCCTCTTAATTATGTACCCCTTCCATTTTAATTAGTACTAATCATGTATTTAATCAGTGTAAAATGATGAAATTCCACGTCAGAAATGAATGGATTATGAGTTTTGGATCACGTCAAAGTGTCAAACCATGAAACAAACCAACCGTCCCTACTAAACAAGAGGCGTTCTTCACTACGTGCATCGCTCAATTCGCACGTCCTTTTCAAATTGAGTTCCAGGGTCATTCTAGTACTTTCTCACTACTCCTCCATAGTACAACGGTAAACATGACGTGTCCTCCTACAACCACGACACCTGTTGCCACCCACTCTCAAAAACCCCAACGAGTCCCAAATCCGTAAATAAATTCAAATCCCAGGCCCATTCGCAGACACCGATTCAAATTGAAAAACCAACGTTTGCAACCGTTTACGTAGTATTAAACTTCTTCTATAAAACAGTTACTCTTACAGATAAGTAACACAAACAAGGAACAAAGAAGAAACAAGAGACGTGCTCTCTCTTTCCTCTGCCTCTCTCGTCTTTCATTTTCAATTCTCATTCTGTAAATCAAATTAGGGTTTTCGTTTTTCTCAGTCACAAAAAAACCAATCACTGTTTCATTGATTAATTTTTCATCATCATATTCATATCGATCAATGTTTCGCGTAAGCAACACGGTGATCGGGATCCTGAACTCGCTGTTCCTGCTGCTGGGGCTGGCCTCGATCGGGGCGTCGATCTACTTCCACGTCCATGGCGGGACCAACTGCCAGAAAGTTCTCCAAAACCCTCTCCTGATCCTCGGCATCTTCTTCTTCGTGGTCTCTCTCCTGGGCCTACTGGGTTCGTGCTGCCGCCTCAACTCGCTCCTCTACATATACCTGGCCGTGATATTCTTGGTGATAGTGGGGCTCATCGGGTTCACGGTTTTCGCGATATTCGTGACGAACAAGGGGATTGGGCAGGCGGTGTCGGGGAGAGGGTACAAGGAGTATAAGATCGGAGACTTCTCGCATTGGCTGCAGCATTATGTGGTGAATGGGAAGAACTGGGGGCCCATCAAGAGTTGTTTGATCGATGCGCAGGTTTGCAGGAGCCTTGGCAACGATGTTCATCAGACTCAGTCCGACTTTTACAAAAAGAACTTGTCTCCTATACAGGTACGTACGTTCAATATTCATTCATTTTCGCGGTTTAGTTTTAATTTAATTTATTATTTGACTTTATTCGTGATTTTAATTATAATTTTCAGTCTGGTTGTTGCAAGCCCCCGTCCTACTGCGGTTACGAGTTCAAGAATGCAACGTTCTGGGTGGTGCCGAAATCGGGACCGGAAGTGGAAGACAGCGACTGCAAGACATGGAGCAATGGGCAGAAGAAGTTATGCTACGATTGCCAGTCGTGCAAGGGAGGAGTGCTGGCCAACATTAGGAAGGAGTGGAGGCGTTTGGCTCTTTTCAACACCTGTCTCCTTGTCCTCGTCACCCTCGTCTACTGCGTTGGCTGCTGTGCTTCCAAGAACAACCGCTTCTCTACTTATAACGTCTACAACAAATATAGAGGCAGAGGCGGCCCTTGACATCTCTAACCTTTCCTTTGCTAGTATTAGTTTTTATTATTATTAATGGTGGAGTTTAATTATACTAATTTTTATTATTTAAGATGTTCATCCTAGTTATATATAGAGGAGGTACTGTTTGTTGTTGTTGTCTAGAATTGAATTGATCTTTAATCAGTTATTTTGCATCTTCGAAATTCTCATTTCTTTCTTGTGTTGGATTAAAAGTTCTTAGCCTTCTTTTTCTTTACGTACAATCTCAATCATCACATCAGGGTGAAAGAGTTCGTACGTATTTTGTTTGCATGAGAATGATGATGGGCTGACCCAATATGATGACGATGGGCTGGGCTTCTCTCTCCAGTTGGGCCCTTGTCTCCCTCTCCTATAAACCAACCCACTATACCAAATCGTCAAAATATTCTTTTTCTCCTTATCTTTTCAATTTCTCCTTCCTCACATTTTTTTCAAATTTTCCTTTGAAGCTTAGATCAGTGCGCACTCTAGCAACGGTCCTAGAAGTTACTTTCAAATGTATAAAACAATGATATTATCAGTAAAAAAAATTTGGCCAGTTGAATTGACCGTCGCAAAAGAGCGTTTGTTTGCGATGCCACGGCAAATCATCCCAAATTTTCTGAGCACTCAATATATAAAGAGCAGTAAAGTGGCGGCCTCAAAATTCATTAGAATGAAACATATAGCTTGGCTCAGTTCACAATTATCAGATGCATATAAAATCTTAAAGGATGAACCTGACAAAACAGTTTGACTTCTACTACTTGAGAAAGGTACAAGCAAGAAACAGGAACACATATACTACGAGTGACGTTACAAGCTCGAGAGTCCAAGTTGGGTGTAATAGCATTGACGGAATATTGGGTACCAAAACCGAACCACATACCCAGCCAGTCACAAGAGCTCCAAGCCTGCGATTGAGCCAATGTAAGTAAGAGAAGAGAAGAGAAGAGGGGAAAAGAAGTCGAGAACTACAGCTACTGTCACTATCCACTGCAAACATACCCAAAAATGCAAGCTCTGCCCAAGCTCTTTGTCTTCTCATTGAGGAAATATATGCAAGCTGCCAAGGAGACTGCCACCTGTAGTAACAAAATTTCATTTAACACAGAAACTAAGGGAAAGCAACATTGCAGTGTATTTTCTGAGTTCTCAAATGCAAATTGTAATATTTTAATAAAATACACTGACATAGACGAAGGGTTTATTTATCTAGTATGGTGCAAAAGCACTCGGAAGGATGAAGAGGATCTAGGGTTCAGTTGTAAGTGATGGGAGAAAGATGAATTCAGCCTATACTAGAAGATAGGCATTTGCTATATGAAAGGCCTCAAAGTTCTAACGCTGATTGTGTGATTGTGTGATTGTGTGAGTAAAGCCTTGTTTCCCAAAGAAACTGCCACAATGCCACTAACATTTTCTGTTTCAACCATTTGGACTTAATCAAAGACATCACCAATATAGGGAACAGACAGATGAAGAGGTCCCATGAAAGGTTCAAAGGATATATAAGAACAGCCCCCAAAAAGATCAATGTCTAAAAAAATAGTAACCCCATGAAAGGTTCAAAGGATATATAAGAACAGCCCCCCAAAAGATCAATGTCTAAAAAAATAGTAACACTCCCCACATGTGCACAAATCAGTCACAAGTAAAACAAATTTCAAATCTAAGCTACAAAGTTATTAAAAAATATATTTTAAAAAATCAGGTGCACTGTGAACACAGGCCAATAATAGCCTACAAAGTTCATTATTATGACCAAAGGATTCACTTTTATAACAGAAATGATAAAAATGGCATCAGCAAAGGTATGATTAGAAAACAAAAGTGCATTAGAACATTGTTAATCACTACATAAAATTTAGAACAAACCTGAAAAGCAGGTCCACCTTCAGCTGAGTTCATGATACTCCAGCCACCCATGAACGCAAAGAGGAACAATCTTCTGAAAATGACTTCAATAGGTGGAACTTCCACAAAATTGAGCAGATTCTTAACCCAAGGTGGAGACTCTTCAACTTTCTTTTTTAACTTGCTCTTCAAATTAATCTTTGTTTTCTTCCTCTGTGTGAAGCTGGCCATCAAGATTTTCTCAAAAGCAGATTCAATTGATTCTTCACTTCTCTCATGTCCAGCATACTGCTGCAAGAGAAAATTTCGTGATCCCCAAATTTCTTCCTCAGAAGCATCATAGCTTACACCAAGACGTTTATAGGGATCCCAAATGCTGGTTCGAGGGAACTTTGGAACATTACCTACAAAGACAAAGGAAAAGGAGTGAAAAAATGATTGAAGGGGCCGAAAGAATCACTTGATACTTCTCCACGAGGAACTCCCAAGGTAGATATACTAAACTACTTATCCAGCATAAATTTTATGGGTAGGGTATAATCAAGACCATGAGAACTTGCCATCAGTTAAATGTCAACTAGCAGCATCAATAGTTAGTCCCTTCTACGCTTACTACAAGATGCTGTGTCCTAAAATCTAAATTTTGGGTGTTGAAACAATGGAAGTAGGCAGTAAATAGAATAGATAATGCTAACATTACCCACAAGACAATTGCAGTTCCAAAAACAAAAATAAAAATAAAAATCCCCTCAAATTATTCTCCATATAAACAAAAAGAGCTCATTTTCATCCGGAGAATGAAACCCAAAACACTAGAATAATGTGCATATATGTAGAAAGATTGAAATGAATACCTCCATAAGATGTATCGGCAGCACATCTAGGGGTTCGTACAGGGGAGTAAGATGTTGGCAGCTTCTTTGTATTTGCACGAAAAGTACTGTAAGCAAAGCAAGAAAAAAGCTAAATCAATATAGATAATCGCAGACATATACACACAAACGCAGAGAGAGAGAGAGAGAGTACAGTTTTTGGCCGACGAAAGGGGTGGTGAAATTAGGGGTCGAGACCGAAAGGGAGACCATGGTTTGCTGATGAAGTGTGTGCGCAGAGAAAACCCTAATTTCAATGATTGTCGGACGCCATGAAAAATAGCTAATGAAGCTGTGAATCAAACAGGGCTTGGGTTGGAAGAGGAGCAACAATATCCGCAACCTTGTGTTTTTCAACCCAGCCAATTAAACCGACCCTTGCTATCTTATGCTGCGAAGCGCACAGCGCACCCCTTTTTTTCTGAACAGTTATAGCTTTTACCGTTTAATATTAAATTTCTTTTACTAATTTGTATTCAATATATATAATATATTTAAATAGGATAGCCGTGCGGCTATACTCTTTAAATATTAAAATAGTATCGCCGTGCGGCTTACTATTTAAATGTTCGAATATATTTAAACTGTATCGCCGGGCGGCTATACTCGTTAACTTTTAAAATATATGAAGTATAGCCGCGCGGCTACACTAATTAAATATTGGAATATATTTAAAAGGTCTAGCCGCTCGGCTATACTATTTAATATTTAAACCGTATAGCCGCGCGGCTAAACTCGTTAAATATAGAAATATATATTTCCTTCTATGGAGGCTGAGCACCAGGCACAACGGTAGCACCTTATATCACTCGTATGAGCTCCGAGCTTTGACTCATCAACTTAACAAAGCCATTCATGCTTCAATTCACCCTTCTATATCTGTACACAAGGCTTGAGTCGTATTTCCGAACAAAGTGTCAAGACACCCAAGAGAATTCTTCTATGGGGTTTGTAACAAGACAAGGGCATGAGGAAAGTGAAGCAATTTCTAAAGAAACAAGCCAAGGAATGACTGATTTCAAGTCCTCTTCCCTCCCCAACTTGCCTGCAGTTGATCAACTATGTATAGCATAATTAAGCATAGTATTATATTCTAGTCTGCCATCAAAACTGACCCGAGCATGTAATTTCATACCCACTGCAACTGCAAGCCTTGTAATATATGATTTCCTCAATCCAAACGTCCTTATAAATCAAAGCTGTAAAATGCAAAACTGTGTGAGGTTCCCTTTCCATTGATGTTGAACAAGGTTCATTTACAACCATGCTCCAACTAGAAGTATCCTATTAAAACCACAAAAAAGAAAGATTCATGTGGTGATATGGTGGTAAACAACATGTCAATATTTCTGAAAGAAAGAAAAGGAAGATGCAACATGGCAGCAAGAGGAGCTCGCTTCTGCACAACACTTATTACACGGTTGGTCTCGGCATTCTCAACAACATCAGTTATAATGGCAGCTGCATGACCAAGTGGCTCCTCAGGAGCCCTCTTCACATGAAGGCCTGCACACCACAACCACATGAGACAATATGACAAAGTAGAGAATGGTTTATCTATAAACTGATTGTCATTGGAAGAGAATCTATAGGAACTAGCGCAAGTAAAGCCTAAATTTCATGAAACTAATCAGCATCCTTTTGTCCACACAGAGAGAGAGAGAGAGAGAGAGAGAGAGAGAGAGAGAGAGAGAGAGCTCAGCTGGCCATGATGGGATATAGCCAATGTACATGGTTGCTGAACCCATCAACCTGAACAGGGAATGCAGCAAAGAGCTGTATCTTAATTGACTGCCAATGTGCCAGCCTTCGAGTCCAGACAATTTGTTTTTTTTTCTTACAGAAGAAATCCAATTAACACCAACAGTATGTTCTTTATACTGACTGAAAAATCAGAAGACAGTAAAGATGTAAAGCCAAAGCCATTTACAATATTTTTCATGATAACTGACCCAATACAAAACTAATGTGAGCTGATTTGAGAACTTTGTTACTCAAGTCAATAACTATAGACATACTAAGAACCTGAGAACCAGAAAAGTCCAACCAAAATCCGGCACTCCAACTAACTACTTTGAGCGTATCCCATTTACAAACCAGATGATCACAAGCTAATATGATTACTTCTACCGAGATAGTTATTTATAAATTTTGGCGATTGGAGCTGCCTCCCCTGTTGATTTACAATTGCTACCGTCAAACCATCAAGAATGGTTACTGCAGCATGCTCTATGTGGTGCAAAACTGTGCAAAGGCATCCTTGTCTCTCCACCGAGCCCAAACCACCTACCCACCATGACAAAACCCTAGCCAGACCATTCCCTGTTCCGGCAGCTAGAATAGCAACTGAAAGAGACACAAAGTTTTGCTAAAAACAGACCCATTAGCAGCCCAAATTACAAAATTGAGGCCCACTAACGGCCCATTAGCAGCCTAAACTACAATATGGAGTCCTATTAACAGCCCAATTTGTGGAAACGAGACCCATTGGTGGCCCAAAGTACAAAATTGAGACCCATCAAACGCCCAAATTGCAAAAAGTTGCTTATTAGTGGCCCAAATTACAAAATCGAGGCCCATTAACGGCCGAAATTAACAAACTGGCCCATTAGCGGCCCAAAGTACGGAGAGATGAAACATTGTGCAACAATATTTTGTTCTTCTCTCTGGCATATCTTTGTACATCAATTAATGATTGTCACAGCTTAGCACTTTGGTCGAGTTGAGCAAACTCCTGCCGCAAAATCCTTCTCATGACCTTATTTGTTGCTGTCCTTGGAAGAGATGGGAGAGGCACAACTCTTGAAACCTGCACCAGCCAAGGAAAGTGTAAGGCTGCACAGCTAAGCTAACTCTTCTGACCACCAAAACGAGAAAGAGAAGTAAACGTAACTGTGAGCAGAGCAGAAATCAATACCTTGAACAGCGGATTTAGTTTCTTCTGCACAGCTGAATTGAAGGACGTTCTCAACCGATTCAAATCTGCAGTTTGGTTATCTGAATTCTTAAATACAACAGCAAGTACCAGCTGCTCAGGACCCCCTACAGCAGGGGGGACCCCGATGGCAGCTGTCTCGAGGACATCACTATCAACTTCATTGCAGATTCGTTCAATCTCAACTGAACTAACCTGCCCAAACAAAATGGAGTGCTGTACATCAGAGCGAACCAACCTTTATTGTAATTTATGAGTTCATTTAAGGCTAGGTTGTTTATTTATACATGCAACTTGCAAGTCACTAAGTCAATGAGTAGTTTGTTTACATTGATTGAAGCAATGGTAAGAAGGTTAATGCATTGGGTTAAATTACAAAACACATACTCTCTATGATATCAACAAACAGAGCACCTTTTGTACACACAAATTCAGAACCACCATCTTCCTAGCACAGGAACGAGGTTAGATTTCATGTTCATGCATATGCCTAGCCTAACATTGAACTCCAATACTGTTTTGTTTCCAAAATTAGTGCCTACCTTGATGCCTCCAAGATTCATTGTATCATCTGCACGACCATGGGCATGATAGTAACCTCTAGATGTCCGTTCAAACACATCCCCATGTCTCCTTAAAACCTGCATTTTGGAAATCATGGAAAGTTGTTTACCCTCCCATGTGAGCTTGATGATATACTGGTATCCAAGTGAAGAAGAAACTTGTTTACCTTCCCATTCCAGAATGGCATTCCCTTAAAATAGACACCATAATGATCAGCATTCAGTAATGTACTAGAAGCTCCAAACATGAGGGGACCAAGCGCCAATTCACCAACCCCTGGTTCATTTTGTGGCTGCAATAGAAGACATTACTTTAGACAGAAGAAGTTCCAGAACGGCCAGAACAGGAAGAAATACCATAAGAAACTACTCAATAGTCACGTCAAATGCCAAACACGATTAGTTGACAAAATTTCATGTGAAGAAGACACTTGTGCAACTAATGTCAGAGGTCATACGTAATGATACCTGTGCACCTTGACAATAGTTCGCCAATACAATGGAAATGGAATAGTATTTGCATGTAAAATTAATAAGCTGTTAAGTGGATATTCCAAATCTTGATAGAGAAATGACATGTATTTGCAAAAGAAACTCATGATTTCCTTGTAGGCTGTGGTATAAATTATAATGCACTCTCTTATGAAGTGCATGAACAAAACTTGCATCTGGGAATAAAGTGGATGCACTGGTGGGGTTTTCTGCAATAAGTTTACAAGTACGAGTATGCAGTACATGTCTACTTTGCACATGTATTGAACACTTGCAACAAATTGAAAAGTATGGACACAAAATTTCCTTTGAAATGTGAGGTATTTTGGTGCTTACAATGGGAATACCATCATTGCCGAGGATAAACAAACTGCAGCCCATAGCTGGTGTGCTAAAAGCAGCCAACGACTGAGCCTGCAACAATGACCCAGAAACAAAACCACCACCAATCTCTGTACCACCACAATACTCAATGATAGGCTTGTAGCGAGCCCTCCCCATCAGCCATAGGTATTCGTCAACATTTGATGCTTCGCCAGTGGACCCAAAGCAACTACCAGATTTCAGGGAAAGGAAAGAGAATAAATTATGGCTTCATTACTGACATAAAACTTATTCCATTAAGATACAATGCAAGAATCCAGATGTTTAGAGACAAAATATGGTGCATACCAATGAAGACAACTAAAACTTACCGAATGGTGGACCAATCATAGCCAGAAACAGAGTCTGTACTCTTCCATGTTCGAACAATACTCGGGATTACACCAAGCATTGTAACTTTGGCGTCCTAGACAGATTGCAAGAGTTTTAGTTGTAAGAAAGCATTTACAACTAAAATATCCTAAATGCCTAAAATCCTACAAATACTTGATGAAAATTTATTGCATTATAAACAGGTACCAATATTTGTTACTCACACAACCTAGCTATTCCAAAACATTTGTTTCTGAGTTCTTGTGGCAAAAGTCGGTTTACACATAGGTAGGGAGGGAAAGAATTATGATACATACAAGTGGGAAACGGCTTTCTTATTGAAAAGGATAAGATGTATTCTGTGTGTTTTGAGGATCAAACTACTTAAAGAGTGAACAAGCTGCTAACTCGCCCCTGAGACCTAGCTTAAAGAATGGCAGTGACAACCAGGGTGTGTTTAAGCTTCAAATATTACCAATCAAAATGATATAATGGTAGGACCAAGAATATTCTAAAGTAAAATTGTATTGCAAAGTTATCCCACTGACTTAGATTTAGCAAATGGCAAGGCCTACTTGAATATAAATGTACAACCAATCACACAAAGGGTAGGCATTCCAGTTGGCAAAACTAGGGGGAACTTAAGCAATATGAATAACAAAATATTCTAACACATTTAGACAAATAGCGAGAATATTTATCACAACTGCACAATTTTCTACCTGAACAAACTTGGGAAAGCCAGATCCAAGAGGGGATCCATTATATAGGGCAAATGAAGCTCCATTTAACAATGAAGCATATACCAGCCAAGGGCCCATCATCCACCCAAGATTTGTGGGCCAAGAAACAACATCACCTATCCGGATGTCCATGTGGCACCAGGCATCTGCAGCAGCTTTGAAAGGAGTCGCATGGGTCCATGGGATTGCCTTTGGCTCCCCTACAGTAAAGATAAAGCCCAATTAAGACTGTTGCTGGACCATATAACCTTTTTCAAGTTTTGAAGGCGGCAACAATTTAGTAAGCTAGGAAATGGTTTATTAGGTTTCCTCTTTTATACTCTTGAACCAAATGCACAAGGAAATTCATTTTTCATGAAAAAACAACATGAATTTACAAAAGGAAAACTTTCTAAGTTAAGCTTCAATGGTCAAATTACCAGTAGTTCCAGATGAGAAGAGGATATTTGTAAATGCTTCTATGGGTTGTTCTACAGCAGCAAATTCATCTTCTCTGCAGATTGAAAAGTGAACAAATACAATATTACATCAGAGCCTCAATATTTTTTCAAAGGAGATCAGACTGATAATTATGTTCTTTCAAGATAATTATGTTATGAATCAAGTAATTCTAAAGTACGCAAACATGCTCAGAGTTGACAATCTTAAAGAGGGTCCCGTCCAATATAACAAAGTCAAAGAAAAACCTACTCCATAACCAAGAATGGAGATGGGATGAGTTTTTAATGATACTGACTCATATGAGTGAAACTAAATCATGAACATCCCCGAAAGACAGAAACTTCATTTGTTCATCTATATGAGTGAAACTCATTTCGATTATTAAGAGTGCCTTTCCAGTTATGAATTACATGAGTATTCTTTAAAGGAAAAAATCGATGATGCATAAAAGCAAGCTATAGTTAGAAAATGACAAAGGAAACAACTTCATTAACTTAGATACTGTTTAGAAACAAAAAAGATCAAGAAGAAATAATTTGAGTGCGTACTTGAAATCTTTTACTGTTTCTAGAAAATCATGCCAGGAAATGTCACCATCACGCAATTTCATGCTAGAATTGGAACCCTTTGTAAGGATAACGATTGCCATAGGAGACTGTGCTGCCACAATTTTACTGCACATTTGAAGCTATAATGTGAGAGACGCTGTCTGGAAAAGAAAAGCATAAACAGTCTATTTCAACTCAGAGCTAGAGTACTTCACCTATACAAGGGTAGACTTTTCTCGCCACGAACTATTATATCCTAACCACCAAAAAGCCAAAAATCAAAGGGAAGATTATTAAGAAAGGACTTGAGACTCAAAAGGTTCAATTTGTAAGTCATGTTTGACCTGTTCAACTCAGTGAGTAGATCATACATGTCACTACAGCAATCTCCCATCAATATATATAAAATAAAAAAACTTATGTATCATAATGTGAAAGTAAGATACAGGGCAAAACTGCAGGGAGCTATTTCAAATGAAAAATTAGTATACTATAATAATTCAAATGCCTCCAGTTTACACATCACAATGCTCGTACAAATTATGGAAAATGAAAATGTAGCATGCAATATTTTAGGCTATCCAGTGAAAAGGTACGAACCTGAGTAAATATGGCTTTTGCCTCTGATATTTTAAGTCTTGTTGATATTTCAGGAGGAGCAAAACTGTCAGCAATTGATACAACGACATATCCTGCCAGAACAATAGCTAGGTAGATAATCACAGAATTGACATGCATTGGCATATCAATTGCGATTGCAGATCCCTTCTCCAAACCCAGTGCCTTTAGTGCATGTGCAACTAACCTACAAATTATAGCACCAAATATACTTATTAAAAAAATATAACATCATAAACACATATTCATATTTCTAGTGATAGGAGCAAATAAAAAATAAATTTAACTATCGGAAATGACTTCAAGATGATAAAACTTAGCATACCAAACCTCTGTGCGCAATTCTTTAAGTGTCATCTTATTCAAAGGCAGATCATCATTTCCTTCGTCACGCCATATCACCATCGTATCATTCAAGCTCCTCTTATGATTTAAACTCAAACAATTTTTTGCTGGATTCCCAAACGCTCCAGGAAGCCATTGACCTCCTGGAACTGATAACTGGCCGTCTCCAGACAGGTTCTCACGTAAAATACATTGGGGAGGTATAGAAAATGATGCATTCATCTCATCTAGTACAGCTTTCCAATAAACCTGACCAATAGAAGACAGGAACCGGATATGTAAAATGAGTATCTAACTAATTGATTTGAAGTCTTTTTTCTTTTTCCAAATAGATAATCAACCTCAGTATTTCATACATACTACCTCAGGGTTTGAGACCGAAAATTCCTGAAAATCGGAAAAGCTGGACATGGGATCCTTATATCTAGATCCTAAGAACTCTTTCCCCCGCCTTTCCAGTAGCTGGCCAACATTTGTTAAATTTGCAGTCTCCCTTACCACGCAACAAGAGATGCAATTTGAGAATTTATTTCCATAACAGCCATAAAACAAACAAACAGATACACACATAAATCTCAGTGCAGGAACTTCTAAGACTTCACACATCACAACTTTCAAGGGAACCAAACACTCCCTTTCTAAACGAACTTCACTCCACGTAAAACCAAGTACTGAAATATCAAAACGACTGAGTTTGAGAACTTACGAGTCGGGTAGCCAGGCGGGCGGATCAGGTCCGAAGTCCTTATAGCAATCGTAGTACAACATCTGGTGGAAGGAGAAAGGAAGCTCCGGGCTGAGGACATGGGCAGTGATTTTGCGCCACGTGTCGGGAGTGGCAGGACCGTAATTTTGGATGATGTTAGTGAGAATTGCATGGAGTCTCTTGGCAGTCTCTGATTCGATCCCCAGAGCTTCGACGTCGGAGACGGTGACACGGTCCAGGCTTTTATACGCCATTTCCCCTACTCTACTGGGCTGCTTAAGGTAGGTAAGGCGAGGGCAGATAACAGAGCTTCATCTTATCACAGGCTGGTAGGTTGCTGGTTCATCTTTCGTTTTTTATTCTTTTCTTTTTGGTTTGTGTATTTTATGGGCACACAGGTAATGCTGCGGTGTGTGTTACCTTTGGCTTTATGTGCAAAAATGGGGCATAGGTTGGTAATATTTATTCACACCAAAAAAAAGTTTGGGTTAAATTTATTTACCCCAAAAAGATGGTTAATAATATAATACCTTCATTCATATGATATACTTTTTCAATCTTCTTTTCTCTTTAAAAGAATTTTGAACTTACAAGAATGGAGAGGCATATAGGCCCAACCATTGAGAAATTCAGGTATGTTTCCCTGGTGTTTTTTTTTCCACACATTTCATTGACAAGTGGGTCCAATTTGCAATTAAGAAAAGTGTTCAGATTATTGTGTTCTCAATTTGCAATTAAGAAAAGTGTTAGAATTTTCTGAACATTCACACAGATTGATATATTTGAGAAATTGGTTTTTTAACGTTTAATATAAGCTTCTGGTTACAGTGAATATCGGGCTCTCAAAGATCTTTATTTGAAAAGTGTTGAGGTGACAAGAAGAGATATTGAGTTTGTGTTGTCTAGTTGCCATTGCCTTGAGCAATTAAAAGTGTCTAATTGCTTAAATTTGACGAGTTTGACTACTGTTGGTTTACATTTTGATTTGAACTTGAAGTATTTAGCAATAGAAGTTTTGGCAAGATGGGATGTACAACATCTGAAGCAAATATTATTTCATTTTCTTATTCTGGGACTTGTATAGAATTAGTGTTGAGCAATGTCCCACTGCTGGTTGGGGTGTTAATGACCATGTCATCACGCTCAGATATTGACACCTCAACCAGCAGTGGGATATTGCTCAACACTAATTCTATACGAGTCCCAAGATAAGAAAATGAAATAATATTTGCTTCAGAAATTCAGATGTTGTACATCCCATCTTGTCAAGCGTCTATTGCTAAATACTTCAAGTTCAAACCAAAATGTGAACCAACAGCAGTCAAACTCGTCAAATTTGGGCAATTAGAGACTTTTAATCGCTCAAGGCAAGGGCAGCTAGACAACACAAACTTAATATCTCTTCTTGTCACCTCAACACTTTTCAAATAAAGATATTTAAGAGCTCGATATTCACTATAAACAAATTCTTGTATTAAACGTGAGAAAACCAATTTCTCAAATACATCAATACGTGTGAATGTTCAGAAAAGTCTAACACAATAATCCGAACACTTTTCTTAATTGCAAATTGGACCCACTTATCAATTAAATGTGTAGAAAAAAAAATTTCACAGAAACATACCTCAATTTCTCAATGGTTGGGCCTATCTGACTCTCCGCCACACCATCCACCTACAAGTTGCCACCACCTCTTTAAAGGGCAAGAGAGACAAAATTTGATCAGAAAATCATTTGGCAAATTCCACAAGTTGTCCAGATCCTAAAGAACAAAAAACAAAATTAAAAATGTTACTAGATGTCATTTCATTTCATAGTTCTATGAAAATTATTGAACATAATGAAAACACAAGGAATTCCTTACATTTCCTGTAAGTATTCAGAATTTGGGGGAAAGTCATGCATCTACAAAGTTATTTTTTTCCTTTGGTCAAAAGTGAAATTCATTCAAACCAGACGAAAGCAGGAGAACACGAGAAAAACATCCACAAAGTAGCGACATAAAGAGAGAAACTAGTAACTAAACACAGATCAGTTAAGTAATTAATGGTTCTATGAAGTAATTGAACTCATTGAAAACACAAGATCTCTACATTTTCCTATATGTATCCAGAAATTGGAGGTAATGAAGTTATTGAATGCATTGAAAACACAATCATCGTTGCCTTTCGCAGTACCCTTTCAGAAATCTGAGTTAATGCATGGTTCTTTGAAGTTCTTGATTTAATCTAATGACAGCAGCAACACAAAGCAAGCAAAGTCTGCATTTACCTTTAGTTTCACGCGTTCAGAAATTGGGGCCTTTCGATTCTCCATAAATGTCTCTTGCAATCAGAGACAGTGGGGTTTCTTCGACTTCTTGAATGGCAAGCGACAGAAAGATGGTGGGTTGGGTTTGGAAATTGGAAATTGGAAGCTTCTCGAGAAAGTTAGAGAGAGAATTTGGGTGTTCTGTCGATTCGCGAGTTTGTGTTTGTTTGGGTCGAGTAATGTTGATTCGCGAGCGAGTTTGTGTTTGTTGCTTTACGAGTTTGGGCGTGCTTGGCAGAAGCTGAACTGAACCGCCAAAGAGAGATTTCAAAAGTCACTTTTTCCTATGCCGGTATTCTTCACCCTTTCATAAAAAAAGGTAAAATCTAAACCGAAAAGGAAAAGAAAAAAACCCTAGCCTCCATTCTCTCTCTCTCAAACCTCTTTTGCGTTGCGTGTTCCGGGGATCCTTCCCCCTCTCTCCCTCTCTTTAGTTGTAGGGTGACTGGCTGCAATCTCAGTGTTATTCACTCACTCATGATATTATTATTGTTGTTGTTGTTGTTGTTGAGTAATCTTTTAGAGCTGCAGTTTAAAGTTGAATTCCATTTAATTTAAGAATTCAAGGTTCATTCTGGGTTTTTTGGAAATTTTTTTGACAGCTTTTCTTCTAGGAAACACTAAATGTTCCTTTCCCAAATTGTTTCCCTTCATGCCTTCAATCATAGTGTGGTAACAACATAGTAAAATCACATCCTGAAAGTGGTCTTAGGTTGCTCTTGAATTTATGGCATATCTTTGCATCGCCTCTAAGCATGAGATGAGATGAGGGCATTCATTTACATAAAAAGACAGGCAAGAAATGAATTACAAAATAGACCAACTAACATCGATCAAAGAATATTTACACAAGAATAATTCAAGGGGACTCTTCTCTAAATCAAGTATGCACATTTAGAGATGAGCATTTTCCAAGCAAAGATGACTTCAAAAAAGAAAACAAATTTAGAAGCTAGTCTAGTCGGAGCCAGGAAGAAGCTTTCGACCAGACTGAGCTGCTGTGCTGCTACTAGTACCAAAACGTCTAAACCCTGCCGGGATGACTCTTGATGGAGAAAGGACCTCAGCAAAAGACAAATTGTATGAATCCGCCCCTAAACGACTCTGTAACCATCCCTTGCTTCCAGAGAACCCATCAGCTACAGTCCAACAGTTCTTAAAGCCTAGGCTAGTTAATGCTCTTGCAACTATTTTGCCTGAATCCAAGTACCTGTGTTGTTCATGAAACGAAAAACAAGAACAAAATAATGTCATAACTTGATCAAAGAGAAAAACCAAATCAGGTAGTAAATAATGAATGTGGGTTATGAAAGAACCCACGAGTCCAAGATCACGATGTTGGAGCCTTTGTTAACTCTCTTGAGATAAGAAATTTTCAATGCTGCTATCTCAGCCTCAACTTTCTTTACATTTCTGACAAGACCTCGCAATTTGCTTGGTAGTTCTTCCAATCTGAAAAATCAGAGGCAACCACTCATAGTTAAGAAGATGCAGAAAGGGTACAAACTAAGGGGTTGAGGAGGCTGGCCAAGTTACTCACGGAATAGCAATCATTTTGTTTTTGGCGCTAGATGGTAGGCGGGGAATGCCAGCCTTGTCCTTGTCCTTCTCTGGTCGAATATCGATCAGAAGGTAATTCTTTGCCGATATGAGATCAAGTGTTTGAGCGGGTGTAAGCGAACCTAGAGTTAGTACAACAAAGCCATAGCATGTTAGTCCATTCCATATGCAGCTTCACTTGCATTGCATGCATTTAGTATCAAAAGAGATGAGTAAATAATAAAATGTGCAGACAGAACATGAAATATGCAATCTTCAACCCAATCTATATCTTCTAAACATTAGGTACTCGAATTCCACATTGGTCAATATGGTGCATAAGCATAAATGCAGGTATATATACTATTCAAGTAGAACAAGTCATTGTTTATTTTTGTTTCAAATATGTCTAAACTTTTACAGACATGAAGCAATTCTGTTTCATAATAAAAGCATGTACCTTTGTAACCTCGGAGGCTAAAAGAGAGAGCGGACCAGATGGGAGGAAGAAGAAGGTATGTGAGGAATAATGCTCCAGCACTTCCGGCAATCACAATAGGATCTGCCGATAAGATGGTCTGAATAGTTGATGAAGCAATGGGCTTTGCCTCTTCAATTACTTTAGTGGTCTGCCCTGCTGCATCCGCTACCGTCTGAGACCAAATTGATCATTCAGTAGTGCATTAAATTTGAGAAAACAGGGTGTTTAGTACCCAAATCTATAGCTTATGATTATCCATTTTCCTATATATCATGGATTTACAGTCTTACTTTCTCCACATAAAGGTATACGAAAGTGTTAGGAAGGATGTTCCACTAAAATTGAATGAGTGCATTGCATAGTGAACCAACTACAACTACATTAAATTTATCAATACATTCATTGGCATAATGAATCAAAAACTACAACATTTCCAAAAATTTCAAGTTTTAGAAATGAACATTGCATTCCTTATTAATATCTGAAATGCAGTCAGGTAGTTGAAATGGAACAATTCAAACCACAGTAACAACTAAAGACAGATTCTCCACAAAATTAACAAGTTATTTTCAATTGCATGAGTTATGGTCTGAAGTATTGTGCTCGATTTCACTTAATTGTGTGCAGATTATTGCAGCCAAGGAGTGCCTAGCCAAATCACACTGCACAACTATTTAAGTGGAAAATGGAGAAAAGTAAACACCTTTGCAGCACCGAGAACAGGCTGTGTATCAAAGCCTGAGCTTTGTATTGCTTCTTGGGCTTTCTTTGAAACCTCAGAAATTGCAGGAGAGGCTAGCTTCAGCGCCTGCTCTCCAGCCTGCTTTGCAATTGGCAATGCCACATCAATGCCGGGCTTTACTGCATTTAAAATAGCTTCAAGAACCCGCTCTGTTCCGTCAAAAACAGTCGAACCCACTTGCTGAACCTGATCAATTGTCTGCTCCACCTTCAAGGAAAAAAAATAAAAAAGCAGGAAGCTTTAAGGAATTGGTGCCAACCCAAATCAAATAAAACAACTAAAAGAGAACCATTGTATCGCTGCAATTTCAAATTTTCAAGTATGAAATGTATTTACTTCAGTAAGGGAAGAGACTATCTGATCTTTGGAGAGGCTAAGAGCTTTGGCTTCAAGGGGAGAGGTGAAGAGGGCTAAGAGAGAGATGGTGGTTGATTTTGGCAGTGAGACAGGGGTGGGTCTGAATTTGGGTTTGAGAGAACGTTTGGTTGTGGCTGATAGCGAAGGAGAAGGAGGCAGGGAAGGTCTTGGGGTAGCTGAAGCCCTGATGGCCATTTCCACTGCCATCTTTACCACCCTCTCACAGTGTCAGTGGCAGGAGTTGAGTGTTTAGACTGTTGTGGTTCATGGATCACACGGATTTTTTGTGATGGGAAATCAGTGGCCAAGATAAGGGAAATTTTTGGCCAATGATAAAATGGCCTTCTATGATTGGCTTGTGATGTCCGATGTGGCATTCATTCTAATTAATTAAGTAAAAGACCCCATACCGAGCAATCCACTGTGGCCTCTCCACCAACCAGTAATGCTGAACTTAATTATCCACTCGCTACTCCAATCCCGTGCAATAATACTGAATACCAACTCACTACCCCAAATTTGAGACACCAACTAATGCGACAGTGCTTCAAGTGTTTCAATTTTTTTAGCTTTCTGTTACACCAAACAGTCGCTGGATCAAGAAGTTAGAAAGCATCAAGCGCACAGTGACACAATCAAACAACATTGGCAAGGCCATGGCTAGACTAGACACTTCAAATATGTGCAGAATTTTTGGAAAACAAATACATCACTTGAGCACATACGTACCGTACACTCCTTGCGGTCATACTCATCTACGTATGTGTAGCTCAAGAACTTTCACATCTAAGACTACAAGTCAATTTTCCATAAAATTGTTTTATAAACCGGTGCAACCTGTATTAGGGTCTAATTCATATCGGTTTGGCATGCCATCTCAAGTCAACTACCAACCATGGTTTTAAACAATTGTTGTGCTAGTGTATATACACTTCCAATGCAATGACTACTCTGAAGATTTTAAATTTCAATGCCCTCATGCATGACTTAGGCCAGAAATTTATTTTATGGCGAGTTAACTATTTTAATTTGGAAACAAAACAGAGGGTTGTCGTGGCAATTTCTTTATGTCATGGCAAATCTATGAGAAATCCAATTCAGAATCTTGGCATTTGGCTGGTCCCAAAGCAATTATTTGTTTTAGGTGTAGGAAATTTAAGAAAACAAGACTCCCACGTCTACAAAAGAAGCAAGCCAAGCCAAGCTAAGAACCAGCTGAGAGAGAGGAAGAAAGGGAGAGTGAAAGAGAGCAAGTTTATAATATAAAAAAGGGTCGTCAATGACAAAGTACATGAAGAATCCCAAAAAAAAGAAGGCTAATAAAGATTCTGATTATTTTCAGAAGACAAGAATTCTGCAGGTATATATTCAAATTTCGAATACAAGTAAAACCAATGAAACAGAGAGCATATTCTGCACTAGGGACTTAAAAAAGACATCCATTATGTGACAAGTGCCAAACTTGTAATATTTTTAAGTTAAATTAGCATCAGGCAGGGTGAATATAAGTTTGAAAGAAACACTGTGCCTCTGTTTGATTTGGGCTTTTGAGGTGTGATTTTTGTTTCAAGCAGTTGGATGCATTATGCATACCACTTGGAGTACTAATCTGGGGAGTTTAATAATATACTAATCACAATGAGCCTAGCTTCTGTAGACACCTCATTGCTTTGGACATTTCTGCAACTCGTTGAGCCAAATATTCCATCCCAGATCATCAACCTGGCAGCTGTCAAAATATCAAACTACCCTAAGATTTGCATGATCGTGGTGTATAGATTTGGACACATGTCAATTATGTATGCACCTATTCATGAGGGAGAATTCCAAATCATCTTCAACCTTTTCTGTTCTGCCAAACCCTAGGAAACATGCTAGCTACTACAACTCTGCATCCTACACCTTTGGTCTTATCTTATGTGCCAAACTACCTAACTAGTTCCTTTCCTTTCAACTTCTCCATCATGAAACCGCAAACACCTCATTCTAGATAGGCTAATTGTGACACTGAAGTTAGGTTAAGTTTGGTTAATTATGCATCTAATCATTAGAAAAAATAAAAACACACTTTATTTATATAACTTAAAATCTGGTCAAATAAGTACAGAAGGATGGCCTGGCCATGTATATAAATCTGTCGAATGCATGCTGAAGATATATACCGTTCATCCACGCCTTTCCATACTACCATCCATGTCTTTTATAATAATGGTAATTAGAAGAGACCAAAACATTAATGCTTATCAACACTTGTCTTGGCGTTTTCTAAACGAACTCAAAATTATTCATATATGTTAATCTTTTGATAAGAATCTGCATTTTTCTTGGGAGTTCTGTGAATACTGATTAATTAATATAAATATATGTCATTACTTGGTGAAAAAACAAACCCAGATGAGACAATCAACATGCCATGATCCCTGTCATCATTCTTATAGTACTCACTAATTCTATAATAATGCTTAATCAAAGATGCCTTCCCTTTCGTTTTAAAGCTAAACCAACCCTTGTAATCTCCTACTCTCATGGACAGCTTAGACAGCACAAAAGTCCCAGCTGATGACCAATTCCAAACACAAACTTTCCAAGAAAATAAAGAGAGAATTAGTGCCATGAGAAAAATGAACAGCAATAATATTAGTGGGAAAAGGTTCCTTGGAGTGAGACAAAGGCCATCAGGAAGATGGGTTGCTGAGATCAAGGACTCTTCACAGAAGCTGAGGTTGTGGTTAGGGACTTTTGATAGAGCAGAGGAGGCTGCATTGGCTTATGATAAGGCTGCTAGGCTTCTAAGAGGAAGGAATGCAAAGACCAACTTTCCATGTCACATCATGAATACTCATGAAGAAAATTGCAGCATCTTGAGAAAGAATCCGAGGCTTTATCAGCTCCTTCAGCATGCAATCATGAAGAACCATGCAATTGCAAGATCCTCGTCTACGAAGATTAATCCATGGGATCGAAACCAAATCAGAGGAATCGATTTCGATACACTTGTTGAAGAAACAATAGTTTGTTCTTCAAGTGGTAATACCTCTGGTCAAGATCATGATGATCATGAGGATAGAAATAAGCTTTGTGCACTTTCATTTGGTAGTTGTAAAGTTTATTCCTCTGTTGTTGTAGCTCCTTCTTTCAGTGCTTCTTCTCAAACTCAATGTCAACAGGCGCATGAAGAAAAAGGTTATCAAGAGGCTTAATTATATTTTATTCTCTTTGTCAGCTCTGTGTTTCATCCTAGCTTAGCTAAGCAAATTGGGTTGTTAAGGGATCTCTATTTTGTGATCAATCATCAATATGAGAAACAAGAAAACAATTCAAGGTACTCCTTGTAATTAAACTATGTTATTTTGTTTTTCTGAGTTTGGAAATGATTAATTTGTGTTTGTTCTGCCATGCATTTACCTCAAATTTCAAATATAAGTACATAAATTTATAAAAAGACAAAGGAGCTAGAGTTTTGTATGCATATGCATGTGTGATGACATTCATCACTATATGCGAAAAATATTACCTTTATTTTATTTCTTGTACATGTAGCTAGATAGTTTTAACATCCTACGCAACAAGGACATGTTCGATGGAATCATCACAAGAAAAGAACAGGACAACAACAAAAGTCTATTGGTCTATTTTTGTAAGAACCTCACAAGGAAGAAATTGTAGGCGTGAAGAGAAAGAAGACTTTAAAATAAAAGAGAGTCTATTGGTACATTATACGATTAAATGATAAGAAGAATTGAAATGAAGAAGATAAAATGTGCAAAGGAAAGGAATATATGTTGAATTTTCATACAAAGCATAATAATTAATCAGATTCAACTAGATTAGAGATTTGAAAAATCATCATTAATAAATGCAGAAGCTTGAAATCCCGATAAAAACAAATCAAGACGAGAGATCATGTCAACAACTTTGGCAAAACTAAATACATCTAAATTTTTAAACCTAATTCTTGTCTCAACTTCGGTTTGTGAAACTAAACGGAAAAGAAAGAAACATATAGCCATGGGTCTGTAATTGTATTAGGGTTTGGTGTGACGTCCCACTCCCACATTCGAAACGTCCATTTCATGCCTGAAAAATCATGATGTACACAAGTTATATATTCTGTTTATAGAAGCAGCCTAACATACACAAACCAAACCAGTTGCATAATTGACAATTGATTCTGTGTGCATGCAACTTGCAAGTGCCCGTTTTCTGTAGCCATATATATATGACAAATTCGCCTTCGTTATCGTTCATAATATCAACCAACATGGCATGGCCATGGTGGTCATTTTTAATGGCACACCTTGCAACGCCCCCACCACCAGCCTCCCCTTCTCATAATAAGATTCATAGCAATCGTCAATGTCGTTTTCATTATCGCAACAACTATTTCGTCAAAATAAAAAGCATCATCGTTTTGTTGTGGGGTCCTCTCATGATGCAACAGACAGACCTAACCTATATTCAATGAACCAAATCATTGGACCCGGTTGGCATGCCTTACCACAACCAAGAACGAGAGTACAAAACGCCAGCACGAAAGTAGAATTAAGTTATTTGCCACTTTCATGATTTTTCATGGTTTGGGACCATATCAAGATCCCACAAAACCATGGGCAGCTAAATCTCGAACCTGTTTAAGAAAGAAACACTAAACTGGAAATCCAGGTACATGCAATAAACCAGTAGCAGTTGCCTTAATCAGATCGGTGATTTCATTGTTAAAATCCCAGAAACCAGAACAACATCGAAGCCAAATCTCCGTCGAAACTGACGAAAATGGCTGGCGGAGCGGGAAAAATGAACCGCAAACAATTTATATTACTCGATAAAATTACAAGGCAATGAATCAAAATAGGGAGCTGAACAGAATATCCACAGCTTATAAACATTGTCCTGTCCACCTCCTACCTACAATTCCACAATCTGATTGGTTCCCATACGATTGTTTCTGCTTTACTAGTTCTAAATATGGTACAAGGAATTTGATACCGGATTCTAGAAGTAACATCAGACCTACAAGATTCTCTGGCAACTTGCTACTCCATAACTGTAATTTCCCCTCACGTTCATGAATCATGCAGTAATGACGTTATGTCTCCCAAATGGAGACTTTCATTCCAAGGAACTTTATCCATTAAAAGAGAAAGAAACAAGTTCAAACTTTTGACCACCTGCTCAAGAAAATGACAAAATAATTGGAAGCCGATTAATTACCATGAGTATCCAATTTCAAGAACCAAAAAAGAGGATAAAAAGGAAAAGAAGAAAAAATTCCTTCAGCTCTCTTTGACTAAAAGAAAAAGGGAGAAAAAGATTAACACATAAGACTAAAAGTGACATTGCATTAAAATCCATGCATACATAATTAGGAAACAATACAGCAATTACAAGCAAAGAAGACAACTTAATTCCACAAATACAGAAGTATTAAACTTTAAAGAAAGCAAAATGTTTTGAACATAAAAAGTATACACAGATTTCTAGCAAATGGGGAAGAGGAAGAACACGACAGAAAACCCAGCTTTCTATTGAAAGAGCAAGTTCCATCACAAAGACCCATGTAAGGTCACTTGAAGACAAAATTCTACCCACAATTAAAAAATAATAAAGAATTCTAAGCATTTAATTCACCCCCAAAGCTTCTCACCGAAAAATGAGAAGCACATCAGTTCGGTATCATGATAACCATTCTGCTGAGGCGAGGCAGACATGCGAGTAAATCTTTGAAAGGAAGATTTTTAGTCCAGAAATTCAGTCATCTCAACATATATATACACCCCATGATAATCAACTTTCAGGTCAAACAAAACTGTTAACCAGCATGGAAAATACAAAATTTACATCAATACATTGAACTTGTACAATAAAATATAAAACTTTTAAGAACAAAGCAAGTCATAGATCATCTGCGTGCAGGTTAAGAATTCAGGAAACAAAAGGCAACCAACCACCAATTTGATTCCCTGCAGCCAACCAAACAACAACAGCAAATACAAACAAGATAACAAAGGCAAATCACCAACCATTCTGGTTGCTGCGGAAGCAGAGAAACAAAAAATGACAAACAAAAAAAAAGTCTGTGTCTTTACCTTCTAGAAATAAATTAACAGACTTTTTGCCTTCTGGGTCCCGGTTAGAGGGTCGTGCGACAACAAACTTCAAACAGAGCAAGTTCAGAAATACAAGAAAAAAGAAAAACACAAGAATGAGAGAGTGAGCGCTGGATGCAGAGGTTTATCGACCGATTCATGTTTTGTATTTTCACAACAAATCTCAGGAAGAGATCGATGAACCGCTGCCTCCAGTGACTCCACCCCACCAAAAAAATTATTCCATTAAAAAAAAACCAAAAACCAAAAAATCAAAAGGTCAGTAGCTGCAAACGATTGAACATAACATGTCAACCACCATAGATCTAATCTAAGAAACAAACAGATCTCACAACATTATAATAATACATACTTACACTTACACATACGTGTATTTATAGAGAGAGAAAACCAGGAATTTGAAGAATCACGTCACCGGGTTTTGCTCACTCACTCACAACACACAGAGCCTCTCTCTCTCTCTCTCTCTCTCGCCCCCTCTCTTTGTTTGCTAATAGGGAAGCCACGGACGGAATGTCGTACATTCAGTTTTCCAGGGGCATTTTGGGATCACTGATTTGTTTGAATTTACGTTTTTACCCTGAACACTGGCGCGATCTCTGTCCAGCTCCCACCAATGGAGGACAAAACGACGTATGGCAACGACATGTCGTCTGAGGACAATCTCATTTTGTTTGCAAAATGACCATATGGGGTTCGGATATCGTTTGATATTCCATCTTCGTAATTATACCTCATGCGAATGATCTCAACCATCCATGAATGTTGAATCCTTAGTGGGACCCAGAGCTTGTACAGCTCAGATCGTACATGCGAACTGAAGCCAATAATCCCTCCAGCCCAAAGCCGTCTAAACCGTCGGGCCTGAAATTAATGTCATCAAAGGTAAGTTGGGCCTGAAATTATGCAATTGGGGCTATTTTGGAGTCACTTTTCTTTTCTTTTGGGCTCCACTATTTCGATTTATTATTTTTGTTTTTAGTACAAGCGATAGACATGTGATAGACATGTTCATTATTTTATATAATGAGTAGTTTAGAATCTCGCTTGTATTAATTAAAAAAGAACTCAAATAACGTTTGATTATGCTATTTGTATTTGTGGATCCCATGAAGATGTGTATTGGTGTTAAGATTAAGTTAACCTTTGGTGGAGTGGAGAGAGTTTAAGGTTTTCTTTTGTTCTTTGCCTTTTTGACGGGAAAAAAAAAAGATGAGATGCATTAAGCTAACCACGTGACATGGGATTCACTTTTACACACAGGAATCTCAATATTTATCTATACAGGAACGGGATGACGCATAAGTCTGCTTTGTTGATGAGGCCATGTATAAGCAAAGCAAACTCCACATCCTCAAAGTAGAGAAAAGATAAAGAAGATGAAAAGAAAGCCACTGCTTTAAGCCCTTTCCACGTTGTCTTCCACTCATAGGCATTGGCACTTATGGACAGGGCAGGGCAGCAAATGTGTTAGCTTATCATCTAACTCTTACAACAAAAACAAAGCACAACATAGACATACAAGAGCCATGGAAACATCATCACAAACTCTGCCTGATCAGCAGCAGCCAGCAGGACAAAGCTTGAGCAGTAATTATCCGCAAGCCGTGCCATTATCTTCTTCTTCTTCTTCTTCTTCTTCTACATCTGGTTCTGGTTCCATTGGGCCATTCTTTGCAGTGATCTCTGTCCTAACGGTGCTTGCGTTTCTGTCGTGCGTTTTGGGGCGGAAGTTGAGTCGTGATCAGACGGTACTGAGGCCATTGGAGAGCATCAACCATGGCCATAGGATTAGCTGTGCAGGGTGGTTGAAGCGCAAGTGCAGGCAGCTGCAGTGCATGGTTTCTCATCATGATCTGGAAGTTGGACCAAATCTAAAGGTGATTGTGGATCCTAAGGTTAAACAAGGTGAAGAGGTTCCTCCACCACATCCACCACCACAGCCTTGAACTTGAACACAACTTTCAACTTTGTGTACGTGTTTTTTGTTGTAAGTGGAGATTATAGCTAGGGAGATGATTCATGTACCATTTTAGAATAACCGACCACTCTCTGCTGCTGATCAGCTGGGAAATTTGTTTGATCATAAGATTGATATATTTGAATGTGAAAATCTTTTGGTATCATTTGTTGGGAATTTTGCCACCTCAGCTGAGCTGTACATGGGATCCAGCCTTGCACTTGACCAAATGAAATATATATCCCTCCCTCCTCAATTAATCTTTTCCTTTTTTGATTAAGGTGCATTGATTCAATGAAAAGAAATGAAGAACTTAATGTGAACTATAATTCAGATCTTACTAAGAAACCGGGGCAAAATTTTAAAAGACAATGCCAGAATTTAAGGCCAAAATTTAGCTTCCCTCCTAGAAGTAAGCACGCATGAAAAGAGAGCCTTCCGTTCCATATGCGTGTGACAAAAAAGGCAAAAACGAAACCACCGACTCATTTTCCTGTCCTTAGGTGTCTCCACACACCATATTTAGCCTTCAAATTTTCAATCACCACCCAAAAAATCACACCCCCTCTCCCTCTCTCTCTCTCTCTCTCTCTCAAACACATTCAGCACCTCCTTCTCCTCCTCCTCCTGCTGCACCACAATTGTCACGTTGTGTTACAATCTCTCGTCATTTTTGTGTAGATTGTGTCATATTATTAGTCGTCATTGTTGTTAATATAGGACTAAACTAATGCCTGCACTAGCAGTTGATCAGCTTAACCAGTTAAGAGAAATCTTTGCAAGATTCGACATGGACTCAGATGGCAGCCTCACCATTTTGGAGCTCGCTGCCCTCCTCCGGTCCTTAGGCCTCAAGCCCTCAGGTGACCAAATCCATGTCCTGCTAGCCAACATGGACTCAAACGGAAATGGCTCGGTGGAATTTGATGAATTGGTCAGTGCTATATTGCCTGACATGAATGAAGAAATTTTGGTAAACCAAGAGCAACTATTGGAGGTTTTTCGGTCCTTTGATCGTGACGGTAATGGATATATAACTGCAGCAGAGCTAGCAGGGTCCATGGCCAAAATGGGTCAGCCGCTAACGTATAAGGAGCTAACAGAGATTATCAAAGAGGCTGATACAGATGGAGATGGTGTCATTAGCTTTAATGAATTTGCCACCATAATGGCAAAGTCAGCCTCAAGTTTTCTAGGCCTTGCTCCCTCATGACCAGAGGTTCCTGCTACATGCTATAGTTTTGGCCCTGTAAACATGTTAATCTTTATTGCACTGCATCATCCCACAAAGAAAAATGAAAATTTTCTCATCTGCTTGACTAATCTTAGATTATACTCTTTTTTTTCCTTTTCTTTTCTGACCACCAAACTAATATGCTGAGTACTTTTTCTTTTCTCCAATACATTTCATTGGGTAATTTTGTTGCTATTAGTTTTGTGTTTACAAATAATTGAACAAGAGTCCCTTGTCAATGAACAGGGATCCAAATTACCTACAGAATTTTTTATATTTTATATTTTTGTTGATAGGAGGACCTAATCCTTTCTTTTCTAGATTTGTTTATAGAATTAATCTGAAACCTGCATTTGTTCATAGATTTGTTTATGCACAATGGCATTGGTATATATCTTTTGGATATCTTTTCTTAATTTTCTTTTCCTGTGAAATTAACCAGTCATCTTTGCTTCAACCTTCCTTGAATTGTGGTGCTTCTAAGTTTCGCTTTCTTGGATTTGGGACGACAATGCCCAAAGAAGAATGGTTTCACAGAAGAAATACATTGTTCTGCTGAAGAGATTTTCTTAGTTTGTAAAGCAGAGAAAGATTGTAATATAGTCATTTAGGAAGCAATAGCATCAGCTAGAAGATACAATAAAAAATAATAAAAAATTCTTATTGGGCGTTATGGTACATCTGGTACATCATACATGATACAAAAGGTTGACCAGACTATTCTCTACATGAACTCCAAAATTCAAAGCTACAGTTTTGGAGCTTCTAGACATAGAAATATCCTAAGCAAAAACTTGGAAGGACAAACCTTAATCCCTGGGACACATTTGCTTGTCATGGAGCACAACTACAAGACACTCTTAAATCAACATGTAAAAGAGAAAAAACTCCTCTTGGAAATAATGTACATTATCTTATGATAAGAATGTGAAAAATTAAAGGCCCTCGAGCTTCTCTTCAAAGCGTTTAGATGTCGCTTCAATGCGGGCTGTGTAACCTACTGTTGTGGGTCTTATGGATCTCTGGCGCACCATATGACAGAACTCAGGGTCATCTGATTGCCCATCTGTTCTTATCCACTGTATCATCTGATGATACATGGGGAAAAACCTCATTTGGATGGCTGCATAAGTGAAATATGGTAGGAGGGAAGAGACCAAAACAAATAGAGTGAGAAGCCAATAAAATGGAGCTGGTGCACAGGCTTCAATGAAAACCTTATAGGCAGTGGTTGATATGTCAGGGTCCAAGGCTCCATATGCCAACTGGAAAATATACCAGAACACAATGCCACCCCAGATGAAGAGATGTTGAATATATGTGAAGTAATTGATGGATAGTGCCATTTGACAGTTCACGACCCATACAACGCATGAGTACATCGTGGCCCCAAAGATTTCGAAGCCAACAACTTGCCCACCTTTACGAAAAGCTTGACTACCCATTGCCACAAGGCAGAAGAAGAAGATTATGGTAGCAGTCACTACCCCATTCATTGCCCATCCAAGTATCCGGAGCCAGCTGAATAAGACATTTTGTGCACCTTCTTGGTACAATAGAGGGAACTGTAACATTGAGACAAGACAAAGAGAGACTAAAGATCAGCATATGATCATATGATATTAGGTATGGACACAGGACATATCCAGTTTTAACCAATTATTTCTGATGTGAAATAAGCTTCTATGAAGAAAACAAAATCTCCATCTACATGAAATGACAAATAAAAGGAATAAGTGCATGGACCCACCTTGAGACAGAACTTGGCTGAGACATCTTGATCAAACACTCCCAAGGCAATTACCGGAAGTGATGTGAAGAAGACATTATATAGTGACAGATACCAATCATTGTATGCAGTTTGTCCCGAGAATGAAGCATAAATCTCAAAGAAGAAAATAGTAAAGCCAAAAGCAATGTTCTTGTAGAAGAAATAGCATATCTGTCAAAAAAGAAGAGGAGTATGTCAATCATTTCAGCTTTTCTGAGACCATTAAAATTAAAAAAGCAACATTAGATTCTAAATATAAGGAGTCTGCATTTCTTTGCCTCTCCACATGCAGGATGGGATTGCACCCGAGGCAGTGTGTTAGCGTGAGATCATTTCTTAATAACGTAAGCTTCTGAGGTCTAACAGTTGTCTAGCAAGAATGATGGAATCCACAAAAGATTCTAGATCCATCACAGGTTAATACAAAATAAAATACCATGAAAAGCTAAAATTCAAATTTTATGAAGAAAAGAATTTACCATTGATGAGATTCTTCTGTAACACCAATGTCCATGTACAAGTAACAGGCGCTCCAAAAAACAGAACTGTGCAATTGCAACATCACTTGACATGACTGCCTGAAATTTTGGGTTGGCAGAAAGGATAAGTCAGAATTCATCAAGAGAAACAAAATTTCAAAAGGGAGTAACTCATGATGCAACAAAAACACGTGGTGCAACTTGTTAAGAATTTACCTGCATTCCTTCAACACCGCTGATACCAACTCCAATATCTGCCTCTTGAAGCATTCCAACATCATTTGCCCCATCACCAATTGCCAGAGTTGTGTTGCCATTTCTCTCTTTTACCAGTCTTGTAACCTGCATTATTTTAAATAAAACTATTTTGGACTTGATTCTTTTTAAAATCATAGACTAAGAAAATGGTTTAGACGTGTTGGAACTTATTTCGGGGGAGGGGAACTTACAAGTGCTTTCTGTTTGGGAGATGAACGACAGCATATAACAGATGCGCAACTGATGGCAAGCTCTATAAAGAGGTCCTTGACATCTTTTTCTAAGGCATAAGCGAGTGAATTCCCATCAATAATCAAAGCCAATGCCTCAGAGTTCTCATCTGGTGAAGTGAGCAAAGCCTTTCCCTCATTTATTTGATGGACAACACTTTCCTTCAATGCCTAAAGAATCAGAAAGGTTTCATCAAACACCCACAGCATGACAGTTATCAGCCAGGAGATAACAGTTTTAAACACTAGCATGCTAAAAGTCCTAGTTAAGCGTCAATGCAGTGACCAAAACAAGTGTCTAGAAATGTACTAGATAACCAAAAAAAGTCCTAGGTGCAACCGTGCAAGTGATATGCTCTGCCATGGTTGTTTTATTTGTATAGTGCACAATTATTGTTGAAGTGAAAGGGACAATCCTAGAGATTTGTTATAACCCTAAGTTCGCCCTTCCTATCAAGTACCTTTAGTGCACAACCAATACAAAAGGAAAAACAAATATCCAATAAGAAATTTGATTTACCTTGGCAACCATGGACTTATCCTCCACCTTCTCTAATGCTTTAACTTCTGGAGTCTCTGAGCTTATTACTATTTGTTTCATTCCTTGTCTAAGCAAACTGCATGCATAGCTGGAAGGAGCAACAACAATGAAAAGGTATACGGTGAGAAATGCTTCTATACTGGAATCCATCTACTGATACAAATCAGTCACAAATCATACCCAATATTAATTGCCGTCTCCATTTTATCTCCAGTCAAAACCCATATCTTAATTCCAGCCTGAGCAAGCTTATCAATGCATTCAGGAACCTATTCAGCACAGAAAGAACAAAAAAAAATGAAATTTGGTCCTGAACAAAATACAAATCTCCAACAAAGTCATTACCTGTATTAACTACTGACCAAACCAATATGTACTCATGTTTGGTTTGCTTGGGAGCTAAAAATATGTAGTAATTAGAAGCAAAAGCAATGCAGTAATAGTTTTGCTGACAACCAAGACTTTACAACTCATTTATGCAAGTATCTGAGTCATTTTTTCACTGTAATGTAAGTTAAAACTCACCCCATTTTGAAGTTTGTCTTCAACTGCAGTAGCACCAAGAAGAATCAAATCCCTCTCTATCTTCTCTGAAACTTGCTCGACAATTTCCTCCCGGTCTGAACTAACCAAATTTTTTGCCTCAGTAAATTCTTTGTTGAATTCAACATATTCTTCTTCATCAAGTTCACGATATGCAAGTACCAAAGTCCTCAAACCAGCATCAGCATACTCGTTAATGTGTTCCTTAGTCTTCTCTTCGAACTCCCTTCCATTCTTTGCAAGTCTTTCGAACATGACACTGCTTGTGGGATAAACAAATAATTATCATGTTTGTCTAAGTTTAGTCAACTTCTGAAATTAGGAGCACCATAGTAAAATGAACTCTGGCACACACTTTCAAGCGAGGAATAAGTTTACAAACCTGTCAGCACCTTTACAAAGCAGTAGTATCTTTCCCTCTTCAGTTCTTATGATCACAGACATCCGCTTTCTAGAACTACTGAATTCCAGTATGCTCAAAAGCTTATAAACTCTGAGAACAAAAAAAAAATGTACGCACTTAAAATATTTATTTGACAAAAACCCAACAATAGCTTCAGAACAACATATATCATAGCGGCTAAACTGCAGTAATAAAAATAAATAATAAATAAAAAAACCCTAAACATGTTAGAACAGAGAATATAGTACAGTTATTTTATCCATATTAGTAAAAGTCCAAGTGCAAGAAGCTGACCTTTCAACCTTCCTTCCATAAATGGGATCCAACTCATGCACCGAGATGCTTGTTTGAGTCCTTTTATAAAATTCAAACCCCAGCTCTCTTGCTGCAATCACAAAAGCTGCCTCATCTGGTGATTCAGCTTCATATGATACTCTTCCGGTTTCTTCATCAATATCAGGTATTGCAGTATGACAGATAGCTAGTAACTGTAGAAACTTCTGGATTATGTCTGCACGAGGCTCATTAACCCAATGGCCATTCATGATCCTTTCATCCCTAAAATTAAAGCCCTTTATCAATGACTTGGCTTCAGTCAAGTCTTCAACATGACTCTCTTCTTCTGTCACCTCTTCAGCTAAAGATGACTTAGATGAGCCTTTTCTCCCGGCTAAAGCTCTCTCAACTTCTGTAACTCCACGCCCAAAAGCAGTCCCAGCAATGGAACACTTGATAAATTCCATTGAGTTGCAAGTCAATGTTCCCGTCTTATCAGAAAGTATAGTATCAACTTGGCCAAGTTCTTCATTCAAGTTTGAAGTACGGGCTAGGGCTGGCTGGTCAGTTTCCTCATAGTACATGTGCAGATCCTGGTTTATGAAAGTGCACTGAAGAACTTTGACAATTTCTATTGATACATACAAGGATATGGGAATCAAATAACTGTACAACATAATGGCTGTTAAAAATTGCAAAATTGCTGCAACTGGTGCCCTTGTCGGATCATAGTAAACTGTGGTGTCATCTGGTCTGAGGTACCATCTTATCATTCTTCCATTTTCGAGGTCTTTCCTAGTTGTAACCCCAAAGACAGTAGCCCCAACAAATGACATCAAAACTAAGAGGAAAAACAAGAAGTAGATGATCTTATCCATCCTCCTCTCAACTTTGCTTCTCTTGGAAGGTGGAGCTGTTGAGTTTTGCATAACTTTTGTGTCATGACCTGTGAAGATTACCACCCCATACACAAAATCTGTGTTTCGTAGCTTGGAGTCCCTAAGCAGAAGCTGCTGAGGCGTAAGAGGGTACGGTTGCTCTTCAATCTCCAGACTGCCTACAAATGAGTACAAGTTTGCATTTGGGTCTTCACATCGGATCACACCCTTGAAATTATTGAAGCTCGAATCTTCATGCAGATTAGAAGTTGCTTCCAATGCTTGTTTTAATTTCAAATTAGTTTCCCCATCAAGATTGGTGGTCTCTACATAGCAAAGTGCCTCATCATAGCTTGATGAAAGTAAGATGAGATCAGCAGGAAAATATTCGTCCTTTTCCACCTTCACTATATCCCCAACTTTCAAATCCCTCCACTTAGTATACTCAAAAACTCCATCACCATGATGCACCCTAACTTTCCTGTTGTTCATTTCAATATCCTGATAGAAGTTTTAAAGACCTTGGTTACTAATCTAATTCTATAATAGCACTAAATAAATATAGTCAAATACAGAAACAAATGCATCAAACAAGGTGTTGATGTAAGAAAGTTTACCTGTCTTTTGCGCCTCCAATCTTCAACAGCCTCTTTCCCCATTGTAACTCCGATCACAACGACGAGAGGGACGACGTTGCTGACAGCAGAGTAAGGAGAAAGTGGTGTAAAAGACAATATTGCACAGATGAGGAAATATATATTGGCAACCCTTCTGAATTGCTCAAACAGTGCTTTTGGTAAGAACGTAGCAAGTCTGTACTTAGTGGTTCTAACATAATTGCCTTCATAACTATGAGCAGCGGCCTCCAAGCAGTCAGGGTCGTTGCAGTAAACTACCCGTGAGAAGCCAGGACCTCCAATACGTGAATGCTCGCCATTGAATGATGCTTTCCCACATGAGAAGGCATGGATTCTGCCAAAATGCTGCTTCTTTCTTCTACCACCACCCATTTTCTGCAGCTAACACTTCCCACATAAATTGTGCAAACACAGAAAATGACTCCTACTCTATTGAACAACTGATCAATCCACCCACGAACCCAACAACCAGTTTTTGACCAAGATGCTTCAGTGCCTACCACTGCCTAGCAACTTCTTGAACCAGAGCCCAGCTGACTGGTGGGATGAGAACAAATCTCAGAAAGTTGCCCAATTCCCAACTCAGTCACCCAAGAAACAGACCAAAGACTGACTGATTGAGAAAAGCAAAACAGGAACTTCAGCCAACTACCCCAAGAAAGGCCAAGAGGAACCAACCCAAAAATAGAGTGATCTGGAAACAGTAAGAAGAAAAGTTTTTTAGCCAAAATAGAAATGTCCTAAAAGAAAAAAAATGCAAAACAAGATCTTCAATGACGAAGCTTGTAATCAAAATTCACAAAGTCTTCCACTTTATATTTGGAGACTGTGTGAAACAGGACACAAAGGTATTTTGAACCTTGCTTCACTTGTGCTTTTGATTTTTTTATTTTTTTTTAAATTGCTGCAGGATGACTAGCTTGCCAAGTTTGACTTGTAGCTAGAATCGCCAAACTTTGAAAGTGGAAATGGGCTTCCCATGGGAACTACTCAACTGCTTGGTTAAATTAAGAATGATTTCCACCCTTTAAAACGCTATCTCAAACCAAATCAGAACGACTTTTTTGTCAAATGCAAGAAAAAGATATAAGAATAACACAAATATCAATCGCTAAAGAAGACTATAAATTACAAATATGAGAAAAACTTCGCGTACGTACCAAGCCTTCTAGAAGGTCAATAAAGAGGCGTACGAAATTAATGTACAACTCGGAAAACAAATTATTGCCATTATGGATCTCTGGAAAAATAACAGACCCAAATATATTCCCGTAGATAAAATATTTAGGCAAGGAAAAGGAATTAAAAATAAAAAAATAAAAAAAATATGTCCGAAGGAAGACAAATGACGTACTTCTTAAATGACAGATCACAGAGTTAATCAAAATTATCAGAAACGTGACACCGCGTGGTGGAAGGGTCAAACAAGACCAGCCCACATGTCCATAATGAACAGCCTAATGCTTTGCTTTTCTCAAATAAGAGCGAGAGTAACAGAAAATTTCTCATTGCGCTAATAGGCTCATTAACCGTACATTATATTAGCTCAGAATATTACATCCAACTGCAGCAATGTATCAAACTCTAACAGGCAGGCAGGCAGGCATACAATCGTGTATATGTTGGCATTAACATCTCAGATAATGCATAATCCATCCTACACTTCATCAACCAAAATCTAATTACAATCAAATAGCATCCACAAAGGAGCAACAAAACAAAGTTTCCCAATCAACTGAACCATACAAAATATGCTGTCACCCGGACCATCATCCCAAAACCTATGCAAACTGACATTCCATCTTTATGATGTTCTTTCTGTGAATATTTCTTGATATGTTTGCACGATAGCAATAGTTTCATTGCAGTGCCGAGGAAATAGGACTTTATGTTCAACCCTTCCTTTTGTGCTTATCTCTCTTTGTTTCTGAACGTTCCTTCTCCGGGGAGTCTCTGCTTCTATGCTTGTGATGTTTCGAGTGTTTTCTGCTACTACTACTGCTCTTTTCTCGAGAAGATCCTTTCCTTCTTCCTTTAGAACGAGAACGGTGACGGTCTCGGTGATCACTGGATGAATCGCTATCTGAATCACTGTGTCTATGCCGATGTCGCCCAGAGCGCTTTTTACTCCTTTCATCTTCTGATGATGAACTGCTGCTCAAATTCCGGTGCCGCCTTGAGGGTGTTTTGGCCTTCCTATCCTCTTGAGGTGCCTTTTCCAAAATGATTTTGTCAAATTGATTACCGAAAGACCCAGTCTCTGTGTATTTGCTATTACTTCTTTCTGAGTTACCATTAACAGGTTCAATATTTCCATGTGGACCATCTCGGGCAATCTCCTGGCTGTGCAGAATCTCATGATTGGAAGAAGGCACATTATCAACTCGCACGATATCAGAATCTACAGAATTAACAGTAGCAGTTCCTTTGGGAGGCACAGAATTCCCGACTTTGTTCATTGATGAGGGCAGTTCAGGAGGAACCTCTAGGCCTAGTTCTTTACCCAAGGATTCCAAAAAGTCACCTGCAATCAAACGGTTTAATGTTGTATTAGCTGCTTCGCCCTTCTTCTCTGGATTGCCCACTTCGTTGTGAATAGAGGTATCCTCTTCATCATCTGAATCATCAGAAAAGATAGCCTGCACACGGAAATGAAGATTAATATGAGGCATATCCTGCATAAAGCATATGCATGTAAAACATGAAGCGCACGGATTATGAGGTGAGAAAATACAAACACTTAAAATTCACCCCCACCCCCTTTTCTTCCCCAACAAAGTTAACAGAGATGTATGACCATTGACCAATATATGAGAACAGGCAAGCGTCTTCTGATCTAAATAGCTCACAACAAAATTATGGGTAATTACAATAATTCGCATGAATAATAGTAGAACAAAATGTCAGACACCAGAAAGAAATTAAAATAAACTAAGTCGATGCAATCTCACATTTCAGAGAACTGACACAAACCTAAGATCTTCTATCCAAGCTGCATGCAAGCATTACTTATCAAGGAGCATAGAAGAAAAGAGTGACTTCACTCAACATAGTACCCAAGAGCTCTTTTCTTGGCTTAATCATTCATAACAGTACAAATAATGGTGAAGAAGATTCATGAATGTTTTCCAATTACAACATAATAGGGTGGCACCTTTTTGGTGTGATTTATTTGCAGTCCGCAACATGCAAGAAGAAAGAAGTGAATTCGTAAGGTACTAATAAATAAATAAATAAATTCTGGTTTAAGCACCTTGTAAAGGTCAACTGGCCTCTCAACATTTTCAGCTTCAACCTCAACTTCACTTTCCTTGTCAGCTGCATCTTTGCTTAGTCCTTGGGCATCAGATTGAGCAACAGGGAATGATACTCCCTTTGCAATTACAATTTCTTCTGCTTTTGTGTCTTTTCCAGAATCTGATGTAAAAATAAGAGTTTCCATTTTGCTCTTCATTCGTGGAGCAGGTGGTGGCTGCAAGTGGCAATAACATATCTTTAAGGTATGGTGTTAAGGAAATCGCGTTTACTGTGTACATCTTTTCTAATGGATAAACTGAATACTAGAGAGATGTACTTCTTGGCTCCAGTTTGAGTGTTTTGAGTGTTTGAGTGTGTGTGTGTGTGTGTGTGTGTGTGTGTGTGTGCGTGTGTGTGTGTGTGTGAGAGAGAGAGAGAGAGAGAGAGAGGTTTACAAAGTGAATAATGCATATAAAGAAACAGAACAGGAGTTATAGAGGAAATTATGCAACTATACCTTCCCCATATAAGGATCAATGAGATCAAAGCGTTTGCATAAAATAGGTGAAGGACGCCATTGATATTCTTTCCGTTTTAAGTGAACTTCCTTTGTGATCGAATTTTCAGCTTGAGTATCTTTAGCTTGCTGTTTTCAAAAATTAAGAAACCAAATTATTAAGAAACCAATCTGAACCCACATCTACAAACTCAAAACCTAAAAATCACACATTGAAGCCATACCGCTAATCCCCCAGAAGTAAACTGCATGCCTCCAGAAGATAAATACTCCATAAACTGTGATGTGGAGAGTTTGCTATCTTTACTCCACTTCCCTTTCTGTATTGCCTCGGCCGCAGCCTCAAAGTCCATTCTCTCACGAGCACGAGCTGCTTCTGACATATGACTAGCCCCACCAGACTCGGTAGATCGAAGTCCTCCTTGGTACTTTTCCTTGAGAAACCGCTCAAAACCGTTCTGCTTTGCAGGATCCTCTTTGAAGGGTTTTGCAGCTTCCAGCATCTCACCCTAGATTCGACGCATAAAAGAAAGTAAGAAATCTAAACTTTCCTTGAGGTAACAACTGCTCATAAAAATCTAAAAAATGATTGGTAGCTAAAGCAATGTCTAAGTAAACAAAAGCCAATAAATTACAATATGGATTCAAACAAACATACAAACGTAAACATTTGAGAAAGCAGATAAGCAGGATGCATGGTACTCACATGTAATGCAGGTTTAGTAAATGTATCTGAAAGATTGTACTGAAGCTGAATGGCATCTGCAGAAGTAGCAGATGAACTTGAATCTTTGGCGCTTCGTTCCAAAGGCCTTTCCCCTAAAATTTGTCCACGGCTCTCTGCTGTCATCTTCTGCATGTGTGGAGACAATTTTACATCCAATTTCTGCTTGGTGTGATCACCTCGCTTCTGTTGCTCCTCCCACAGTTTCCTTGCATAATAATCATGGCCATTCCCTCCAACTAGAAAACTAAACAAAGGATTTGACTGGTTTTTCTCTCTGGAGAGATCCTCAAACAATTTACCACATCGAGCTACTAGAGTTGCAACCCCATCAATTAAAAGTTTCAGATTATTGTCCTCGGGAGGAGGGACTTCTGGGGGACCAGGATCTCCAAGCTTGTAGCCAGTCTCAAGAGGCCCGGGAAATTTATGGTGGGGTACAAAATCTTTTGGAACCACAGGAGGATCAAATCTGGAACAAATCCCAGTGTAATAGTTAGCAGTTATGTATTCGGCAATGAACAAGCAGAAAAACAAAAAATATATATTTCATTTACAGCATAACTAATTTCAAAATGGACTCATATTAAAACATGCAGGAGGATCAATTCTTCAGCATATTCACATGCATATAAACTAATAAAAAAACGTGGCAACTCATATGCATCATAAAACTAAAACCTAATTACCGTTCATGCTGGTAGTCAGAATTCAATGCAAGTCTAAATCCAGAGAGAACACCTGGCTCCTTTCGAACTGACTTTTGCTTGCCCTCCGTGATTGATCTTGAAGGCTCATCAATATCTTCAACATAAGTCTCCTCAAAGTCATAACCTGCACAATACAATTGGAAAAACTAAAGCATAAATAATGAATAATATTTCAACAAAAAGGTAACCTGGTTAGCCCAAAATGAATCTCACCAACAGATCGAATCACTATAGAACTATAACTATTTACCTCAGTAGATCACAAACTGAAGGAAATCATGCAACTAAAAATATAATCAATTAACCAATCTGTGGCCTGAATTAAGGGGAAAGGAAAGCATTAATCACATCTCAGCAGTTTCTCCCAGAAAGCATAATAGGGAAAGACAGCACAAAAGAAAAGAACTTATTCTATCCAATGAATCCAACAACTCTATAGCATCTATTAGTTACTGAGAAGATAAGATTGATTATTCACGACGAGAACACTAACCAGAGGCATAAACATCCTCATCTTCAGCATCAAGTTCTTCAAGTGCTCCAATTCCAAAACCAGGAGCAACCTTTCCTGCTGATGAATAACAAGCCAAATCAATCATAAGTTGAGACAAAGCAATCCATACAATCTAATAAAAACAATGAGGGGGCAGAGCCCTAGATAATAAGGCCAAAAAGAAAGCTTTTTAACTGAATCGTAAATCTTACACTTGAAACCAAAAAGATTATTATCCATCGAAGGGGCACTTCTATATCCAATACCCTTATTATCAGATAAGCGTGACCTTTTCTTTTCTGAAAATAAACAATTAAAAAATAGTTATCAGGAGGACGCATTAGATTGCTCGTAGTCACAGAAATATGACCGAGTTTTCTACAAATAATCACATACCCCTAAACTCAGGAGCATGCTTATAAGGATCAAAACCTAAACCGTGAAGGTCCTGCTTTGGGTAGAGTACATAAACCTGAAGGAAAAGATGTGAGACACAGAGAAAATCCAACAGAATAAAAAGAAAATGTGATCCCGTTGTTGAAACACCATTATTTTTTTCAAAATTTGAAATTGAAAAAAGATATAGGAAGTATTGAATCACTACAGGCTCCAGATTAGCATGTTGCAGTAGCAATGTAGCATTTCCATTACTGGGAAGGATATCCTGAAAATCATGGAAACCCAAAACAATAACAAAATAATGACTGACATAGCAAAGAAAAATTACTTACAGGTGTGCTTTCTGAAGATTGAACATCATCACTCGCAGGCGGATCAATATAACTCTCAAGTTCGCCAGGAACAGACTCAGGGTCAGCAGTCTGTTTTTTTGCTTCACTGGAAGAAAATGCTAAGAAAGCTTTTCGAGCTTCCCTTCGAGCATCTGTACGAGGCCAAGAAATAGTTTAAGACTTTAAGTCAAGAAAGAAATACCTCAACTAAAGAGAAATCAGATGAAACTGTATCATAGAAGTGGTGTGGACTTTCAGCTTAACAAAAACTAAAACATGTGAAAGTTCCATCATCACATATATGTAAATTAAAAAGTAAGAAAGGTAACATATTCCTTAACAAGTAATTAATCCTTTTCAAAACATACCATATGATTTATTAGTATGTGAATCCCTGATTGAACGACCATGACGCCATCCCATCTTCAGCAGCAACTTTACGCCTATTCAAAAACCAGCAAGTAGAGGCTAAAAGATGTGCAACTACCAAAGGAAACACTATTTTAATAAGTAACCCAACTTAAACAAACCGATAGAATCTGTGGACGGAAGAACTAATTCATCAGGAACAGGTCCAGGAATAGCTGATGGCCTGCATGAAAAAAAATATAAAATTAAAAAAATAAAAATAAAAAAAGATATAAAAAAGTCAGAAAACCATGCATGAAACTCCTTTAGGAGTGAAAAATGAAGAGAAAAAAAGGTTAAAGGATACAACTCATAACATTCATCCTCATTATGCACTGAGCTGAGAAAATGTGAAAACAAATGTAAAACAATGGGTGCAACATTTCACCATATGGACCACCGACCATGTAAAGTAACAAGAATAAAGCTAATATATTGTGGAGAGATATTTTAAAAAAAAACAAATTAGGATGCACTTTAATTTTTAATTTGGCAAGCAACTGAAGATCCGCATTTTTCTGTCACATGATAGAAGCTGCTGGATATCACATCTCCATAAACTAAGTTAAGAGTTCGACTGATGAACATCAGAGCATTTAATATATTTATCACTAGAATGCATGGATAATTAACTATTTGTCCATGTTGAGAACTTGAGACAAAGAATCTTATTCCTTTAACCAGCAAATCTAATAAAAATGTGATAATAAATTTTATTCCTTTAAGCAGAAAATCAACTAAAAAATGCTACTACATTCTACTCTCACCACAAAATTTCCAAGAGAGACTAGGGTTAAGACTCCAAACGACCTCATGGGTCATAACCAAAGAATTTAATTTTCTTCAGCAACACAACAAAATCACAACACTCAACGATAAGGTTAGGATACAAGAATAAGTAGCATCCAGAACCTTATCACTTTCATCCAAATGGCCCAACTTGTATTACTGTCATCAAGTTGACTAAATGAACAATTATTAAACTAGAATTACAAATAACCCATACTTCACCTTTTTTGTTGTTCCTTCTCAGCTTGTTTCCGAGCAAGTTCTGCAGCTGTAAATCCAAAAGTATCAAACTGCAAAGACGTCCCCAAAGATTGGCCTTCCAGTTCCTAAAATGTTAAGAAGAAGAACCATGAAGCTGATTTGGAATCTTAAAGTAAAATCATATTACTGAATCAACCAGTTCCAGAATCTCATTCGACACAAAATGCACAGATTACTACTAATAAATGTGTGACAGGATACATAACAACATTCTCTACCAAATTAAAATGAGCAAAATATACTGACGATAATTTTTACAAGGATCATAGTTTTTTTACAATAAAAGACCTTCACCACCTTTGGAGTTAGAGTTCGAAAGCAATTTTACTTCCACCTAATGTTGCAATTATCTCAAAGGGAACATCACCTTCTGTCAACTTCAAAAATCCTAAGTTCATTGGTCTATACTTTCCTCATTTGCAGTAATCCTCAATAGAAGTATACTACCTCAGTTTTCTAAGAGCTAGAGAACAGTCAACATTACATAACAATGAAAATTACTTTATTTCCTACTTTCATTATATTCTCTGCTAAGTAAATGAAAATTATTCAAATGTTTGAAACTAAATTTTGGAAAGGTATGTTTCCCACCAAAAAATTTTCACTCCCTTCAAAGTAAAGTTCATATTACACAAATCGAATTACTAAACATGAAACAAGCATGCATACACGTTATTGACCCATTTCACAACATTGACAATTTTCGTAACACATTCACAAAGTTGAAACATATAACTGAAACAGATTCAAATAAAACTAATAGGTCAAAGCCAAAATAAAACATACTTCTTTTTCATCTTCATCTAAAAAGTTCAAAATGTTCTGCTGTTTGACTTCAGCTCTGTTCTTCCGGGATGACACAAAGGACTGTGGTGTCCACCCTGCAGAATTGTTTCACATCCCTTAAACCATTAGCTACCCTTGAAAACTCTTAAGAAAAGGGATCACACATTCTAGTTCGAAGGAAAGAGTAATGATACCCTCTTTTGAGCCCACCGTATTGTAATAGCCAGCAGAAAACCCTCCACTAAATGCCCCATGAAATCTCCTTCTTCCTTCTTCGTCTCTAACCTGGAGACAAAAAATTACAAAATTAGTTAAACATCATCACACACAAGGCATCCTTCTTATGAATCAATGAACAGAACCGTTGTAAATTAGTTAGGACTTAATTCCATGCAGAGTAAGTCATATATGTCTCATTAGAGTTCTTAAATTAGTTTAATTAAAATAGCATCATTTGGCATCCCCAAAATCACTTGGCAGTATTTCACTGTATGTGTTGAGCCAATTATCATCTTCAATGTTCAAATTCAAAAGGGAAAACAGGTCATTTCAATCTGCGGCTTGTTATCTAAAGTAAGTCTCAAATTCCTTTTCAAACCTCCTCATTTACCAAACAAGCTACTGTAAGTACGAATGTCAAACTCTTCCTGATCCCACTTCCTACCAATCTCTCCAAAACTTAACATACATTTTTCTCGACTCTTTTCACTGTCTCGAGTTTTCTCAGGAACCAAACAAAATATAGAAAATAAATAGGAGCAAAATAGAATATAGCAGGCGAGCAGAGCAAATACCTCTTGCTTCCAAGGAACGAGAGTACGTAGGTTACCAGAGGCCTCGGCAACGGCCTTCTTCTTACGGCTGATGATCTCTTCCTCACGCTCTATCGGTGTTCCGTAGAACACGAAATCATCTTCGTCCCTATCCATTCTGAATTAATTTCTTAATATCTTGAACATCAAGGACAATGCCGTGTAATCAAATTTATCAAGACAAAGAGCCTAATGAATTGGATTATGGAAAAACAAACAGGTTTATGATATTGCGAATAGGGATTGGGGTTTCTTCCAGAGTATCGTTGCAGGGCGAGGCAAGGCGAGCAACGCAAAGCCCTCCTTCGAGCTGAGATAAAGAGGGAGAGAGCGAAGTAGACGAAGAGGGAGAGAACGTAGTAGTATGTTATCTTTGGACCCAAATAATGGGCTCGGCGGCCAACCCATTTAAACTCGACCCAAATAATGCATTACGTTTAGGCCATTATCAAGGTATAGCTATTGTCTCCTTTTGATTTTTTACTTTTTTAGAGTTATTATCCGTATAAAGAATTTAGTATTTTCCAATTTAATACTCGTATTATACACGTGCGTACATATTTTTCAATAATATTTCCGTTTTTCATATACGTCTTAAAGAATCGCCTAAGGGGCCACCACATGTCCTTGAACTTTAAGTAGCACGACAAGTGCCGTTTTTCAACCATATCAACAAGTAGGCTTGTTGAGTGGCTAGTCTAGGGATCCCTTTGATTAAGGCCCGTTTCCCTCGTGTTGTCCTTAATGAAAGAGCTCAATCAGATATAGTATAAACAAGTACTAAATTGATCAATCAAAATATAACTCCTATAATTTGCAAATCTTATTTCTATATATATATACTTGACATATGATGGACTACCAGTGTAAACCGTGTATTCTTCTCGTATAGATAACTTGGGCCCTATCTAGGGCTTGGGCCCGTGCTAGGGCTTCAAGTATAAATGAATTGCGAGAAGATCTACACACTTTGAACGATATCATAATTCGGGCGGATTGGGGTTGATCCCAACTTTACCTACTTTGATGGTTAAGTCATAAACTATCTTTTGTTTGAGAGAGAATGGATGTAGGGTTTTTATCATATGAAGAGTTATTATTTTTGTCCAGAGATAGGTGATGGATATTTATAGAGGGGAGAAGGAGAGACCCATATATTTTATGGGATAGATCTTTTCTTTATTCCTCTATGTTAATGCTCTATTTTTTACCACCATGCTTTGTGACAAGGGTTTGGTGGCGAAGTGACAGATGAACTATGATAGGAGATGTATTAAATGTTCCCTCTCTATCTCCAACTTGTTTTCTCATAGACCGAAGGGTAAAATGACACATGCTTAAGGATGGGACGCGCATCAACCGACTTTTCCTATCTGCCAGGCTGTTTCATTTAATGCATCTCTAGTCAAGCCATGGTGCCGTTATGGTCGGGTCGGTCTTTAGACACCCGATCACTAGTCTCATTCTGATCTATCACATTCTCCTTAAGGAGTTCTTTGTTGGTCATATACGCTCAGCTTGGTACACGAGGTGTCTTCCGAGGGGCTCGGCTCATAGTGATAGTATGAGCTATCAACAACCAGTATATATATTTGGGTTTTAAATTAATTGCTTTTCTATTGCCATTTGGTTTACATCTTGCCGCCACCAAGAAAAAATTGTCAATCATTCTCATAAAATGCTAAAAAAGCTAGATGGCCTAGGTTGTTGGACAAAGAAAAAAATAAAATAAAATTCATATATTGTGGATTCAACATGCATGCTTACTTACATGGAAAGGGAATTCTATTCCTAACCATTCCTTTGTTTACTTGCGGGAATTCTATTCCTAACCATTTCTTTGTTTACTTGCATGTTGGGAATAAAAAATGATGCAGAGCTCACATATAATCATGATATTGATTCCTGATATAGGGACAATGACATTTTGGATGGGAAAATGACATTGATGCCATTTTCCTTGAACGCAAATATATTAACTTAATTCTATATAGATATACTAGGAAGTAATAATTAAACTTTTAAAATATGGTTATTTTTACATATATTAAATTGTATTTATTATTACTATATAAAAAGTTGATTTTTTATTTTTATAAAAAGTTTATTACTAGATTAGAGAACTGAAAAAAAGAGAAAAGAAAAAAAGATTAGAGAACTTTTGTCATGTGTTCTATGTAATTTTTTTTGTTTAAAACAAAAAAATTTATCATTTGAATGTAAGTAGTTGAACAATTTGAATTTATTTTGCAAGGGCATTTTGGTAATTAACCTGGTTTTGATTTCAATTCCTAACAATAGTAAACTGTTTTAATGAGAATTCGTTTTGTTTTCATTCCGATTTCTGACAATTAAAAAATAATTTAATTAACTCGATTTCTACTTAATTCATAAATACTCCGATTCTTAACTAGTAAACACGCACAAACAACTCCTAGAATTTCATGTCACCGTTAACCAAATTGTAAATTGCTTTGTTTGGGTATTCTATCAATTGATTGGCTGTTTTGAGTCTTCTCATCGAACGCTTCGAAGATGAAAGAAGAACTCTCTCGCTAACTCACATCTCGCCCCTTATTAAAACAAAGGGAACCATCCATACCTCGACGCGCCCCTACCTCACGTGCACAACACCCCCAACCACTTATACGTGAAAACACGGATGTCGAAAACTCCCTCAACAACGCCTAAAATCAGCGCGTGGTGGACTTCGTAATTTTCAACGCGCTTTAGGGGGCTTGTTTGCCCTAATCGCCTGTGAGCGAGATCTGGCTTCTTATCCTGAAGAACCAATGAAGCCTGCCCTTCCCTGATAAATCCATATATCAACCATGCCCCTCTTCGTGATCTTCCTCCAACTCGGATCGTCAATCGGTTGATTCGTCGGCCTACGCCTTCAGATTCACGCTCGCTCTCCGATTCGACTGAGTTATCTGGTGAGTCCTTTCGATTTTGCGAGAAACTTCAGATCTGTAATTTTTGTTTTTCTCATATATAAGTTCTTGTATATACGCGTATATGTATATATTGATTTTTGGGTTAATGGTTTACGCATGTTTAGGATGGAGCCGATGGACATCATCGGGAAGTCAAAGGAAGATGCTTCGCTTCCGAAAGGTAGATTCTTATTTTAGGGGGTTTTTTTGGGTTTATTATTGTTGTTATGTTTATCCATTCCATGAAATTTGTTAGATTTGATGTTGTTTCCCCCTGTGAAGTTCAGCTGTTGTCTTTGAGTTTTGTCATAGATCGATTTTGGCAACATCGGTTGCCATAGGTTTGGGGGATTATCACTGTTATTGAATCCTTAGGTGATTTTCAGTGAGTTTGCCGCTGTACTTATTTTGTGGTGATAAATTGATTTATTAATTGGGGGTTGCTAATTTATGTTTCTTTATGATGAATGAAAACCTTCACCTATATGTTTTCTTTCTCTACTTTGCATGTAGTTGTGCAGAATAGTTGCACCAGGGCTTGGCACTGGCAAAAGTTAATTTTTTATTTACTCATTCTGATCATATGTTATGTCCTTATAACCTTCACCTCTCTCACTTCATCATTTTATCTGTACTTTTATCATCCCTGATTCTGGCTTTTCATGGTTTCTTTGTGTCCTTGAATTCCCTGTAGGCGCATCTTATGCTGTTTTCTACACAATATTATTATTGACTACCAATTGTTTTTTGATACATCTCTGTAGCTTTTTACTGGTTTTACTACGATATTTGCTTTGTCTTTGTTGTATTGCTTAAAAAAAATTCTTATCGCATGGAAGTATGTCGAAGGATAACTTCTTAAAACAAAATTGCTCAAAAATTTATTGATGTTCATTTTCAGCAACCATGACCAAGATTATTAAAGAGATGTTGCCGCCAGATGTCCGTGTTGCAAGAGATGCTCAAGATCTTTTGATTGAGTGTTGTGTAGGTGAGTATATATAAGTAGTTTAGCTTTAGTTTATCTGTTACATTTGTATGCATTAAAGCACACAGGTAGATTGTTACTCTGTGTTAATCCAAACGAGTTTTGTTATTGTTAATGCATCTATTTTTGCATCTTGGTTTCTGTATAGTTCAAACCCATATCTGCATATATTTTGGTCAATAGCGTGTTCTGCAAGTTAAACATGGTTGTTTCAGGGAATACACAACAAAATGCATTGCGGATTCAATACATTAGTTTCAATCAAAATTAAAATACAGTTACTTTTCGGATTTTGAGGGATTTTTATTATCAGTTATGGCTGTTGGAACTCCTCTTAACTTCTTTCTTTGCCCCATAACTTTTTGTTTTGTACTGTTGTCTACTACGTATGCTAGTTCTTTTAAGGATGTTTTATTTATTTTCATTGCTGAAGGAAACCTTCATCGCTTATGTCATGCCTTTGCAGAGTTTATAAATCTCATCTCATCAGAGTCTAATGAAGTTTGTAGCAGAGAGGAGAAAAGAACAATAGCACCTGAGCATGTACTCAAGGCTTTACAGGTTTTTGACCAACACATTTGAGCATATTGTTCAGTTTCTAATTTGGTTCTTGTTTTTTCTGTGGTCTCATTTGTTGTCTTAAATTGTTTTTGTCCATGGTGCATCTGCACTTTCATATTGTGGTTTATCAGTATGTCTATCGGTCTATGCATACATTTCTATCGTTTTACTTGTAGGCTTTATCTAAGTGAAGTTCATGTTTTCTATCACGATAGTTATTGCCACATTGGTCTATGTGGGTCCTTGAAAGAAGTGCATATTTGTGCAATAAGCCTGAAAGTGTAATAAGTTATTTGTGCGTATAATTGGTCAATATTGTCATTACTGTCGATGACCAAAAATGTCTGTATACTATGTACATGTTCAATAATGGCTGCATTATGACATTCATTCTATTCTGTGTTATCAGGTTCTTGGGTTTAGCGAGTACATTGAGGAAGTTTATTCAGCATATGAACAACACAAGATTGAGACTATGGTAATTGTTCACCATGTTATGCTTTCTATGTTCCTCATATAAGTTATGTTAAAACTTAAAACAGGATGGTACCAATTCAGTTGAACCTTGATAGTTAGGGAATCGACCCTTTGTGCAGTTGGTTTAACCGACAGTTACCTCTTTCTCTTATACACGCTTATGGATGCACATACACAAGTCAACTAGTTCACATTTTTTAATTTTAAATTGTCAAGTAATGGTGAACTTGCCGCATAAACTTGTACTGATGAAAGTGAAATTCCTTCCAGCATGACTTGGCAAAAAGTGTGAAATGGGGCAACGGAGCCGAGATGACAGAGGAAGAAGCCTTGGCTGAGCAGCAGAGGATGTTTGCAGAGGCACGTGCTAGAATGAACGGTGGAGCCACTGCGCCCAAGCAACCAGACCCTGAACAAAGTTTAGAGAGCTAACTGTAGGATCTTTATTTTTCTTGAATTATCGTAGGCAAGCGTACTTGACTCATCATCCATTTGTGCTTCTAATATGGCTTATTATGTACAAAGAAAACCATTGACTAGTGTGCTGGCCTATGCCAATATGCACTTTAAGTTGTATGCTCGTTATGGATCCTTGTCTATAAGTTAATGTAATTAGTAAGAGTTTGTCCAACCAAACCCTGGTGCCCAATTGTATGTAATTATTTGGGTTTATTTAGTTGCAGTTTGGAAAACTAGTTGTGTTCTCTGTTCTGTTTCTCAATCGTGATTGCATTAGCACGGTGACTATTGTTGTATTTGTGTTTTTTTTTGCTTTCACAAAGACATGGAAAATGCATGTTGACGGCATGCGATTGCTTACAAAAGTAGCTGTCCTCCGAAAATCATTCCTCATAGAAACTCATAAAAACACCAACTGATGTCGTAAGGCCACCTTACCTTGAGAGAGAGTTCACCGGTCTCACCAGGAAGGAAAGTGATGCTTCAGTGGTGTTATAGGATTTGACATGGAATAAAGAAGGCATGGTTCGGTTGGGTCCCCACAAACATTGAGGTGTCAGTTTGCAGGTAGGTGGTGAAGTTGTAGACTCTGCACCCAACATAGCCCATGAGAATTCAGAGTTTCCGATACCAACAACACCTCTTTTTGTGCAGTAAAAGACGACGACATGGCTATGGAAATGGAAGGGCATGTGTGTGTGACTTGTGAGTTGTGGATTGCTTTGGGTTTGTGTTTGTGTTGGGCTTTGGTTTGCCATCTCTTGATCTTTCTTTACCCTTTTTTGTTTTGGGATTTCATTAAGTCAAAAAGAGTCAGTCAAGCAACTCTCCTCCTCCACCTCCTCCTCCCAGGGTAGTACCCCACTAGAAAGTGAAATAACAAACACATTGTCTCCTCAGATTCCTTTCTTTTCTATTTCAAAATGAAATCTCTCTCTCTCTCTCTCTCTCTCTCTCTCTCTCTCTCTCATTCAGTTGGTGGGTCAGCCTATGTTTCTTTTGTCAGGATTCTCTTGGGCTACAACAAAAGGGCTAGAAACAAAGAATTAATGAAAGCCCCACATATCAATAAAACTTAAAAGACAAGAGACCAGAATCCTTTCTTTCTTTCTCTCTCTTTCTCTCTCTACCCACCGAACCATCTTTAAGGACTGCCTCTGCCATTGATTGCTTTTCTCATATGAAGACAGTGAGCATGGCAAGGACCTTGCAAGACTCTTCCTCCAAGAGACACTTCCACTGGACAAACAAGGTTGGTACTGAAGATGATGATCATGTAGCGCTTCCAAGCTTCAAGTCCTCATCCTCCTCAAAAACAACTGATCATGAGGAAGAGAAGAACACAGAGCATGATCATCATCCCAAACCACAACATGGCCATGTGGCTGCAGCAGCAGCAGCTCATCAACTTCCAAGGAGGAAACTTCAGGCAGCCGCAGTGTCCAGGCTCCGTTCGGTTCTCACCGCCTTTGGTAAGAACCGTTCAAGCCTACCACTCGGGCTTGGACCCCGAGTGGTAGGCACCCTTTTCGGCTCTAGGCGTGGTCATGTACATTTTGCATTCCAGAGGGACCCAAATTCACAACCAGCCTTTTTGATCGAGCTTGCCACTCCAATCAGTGGGTTGGTTCGAGAAATGGCATCTGGGCTCGTTAGAATTGCCTTGGAGTGTGACAAAGACAAAGAAGAAATGAAAAAGAAAGACAAAGCTCTGAGGCTGCTAGAAGAGCCTGTGTGGAGAACATTTTGCAACGGCAAGAAGTATGGTTTTGCAAGCAGAAGAGAATGTGGGCCCAAGGAGTGGAAGGTACTGAAAGCTGTGGAGCCAATTTCAATGGGGGCTGGTGTTTTGCCAGCTGCTGCAGGGAATGAAGCTGAAGATGGGTCCGATGGTGAACTCATGTACATGAGGGCCAAGTTTGAGAGAGTTGTTGGATCCAGAGACTCTGAGGCCTTCTACATGATGAACCCTGATAGCAATGGAGCTCCTGAACTCAGTATCTATTTGCTTCGAGTCTAATTCCACTATGTGCTTCCATTTTTGAAGAGTAAGCTGATGGGGATACTTGTTTTGCTCTTCAATTTAGGAATTGGAGGCCTAGTTCTCTCCAAGTAGTTTTCTTTGTTCTTTTTTCTATTTATTTTTATTTTCTGTTTTGGTATATTTGGAGAAAATGGTTTAGTGGGCTTAATGTATTTTCATATTTTGTTAGTTTAGGTGGGGGGGCAATACACATGATGGTAGGTGGGGGGGTCATGAAGGTGTATATGTATAGCTTTTTCCAATCCTTAATTAAGTGATGATGAGACAAGGATGCTAATGCAATCATGATTGTGTCCTCTTTGCATTTTTTTGGGTTAATTTCCTTTGCTTTTCAAATAATGGCTTATCTCAAGTTAATGCTGAGAAAGAGTTTTCTTTCACTAAGGAAGAAAGTCTAAATTGAATTCTCAGCCAATATAGTTAAGCCAGCAGGTAAGCTGAACAGAGAAAGGGAATGGACCCTTGTCTCTTATGATTCTGTTTTCTTGGTACAGTAGATGAGTACAATGATTTCTTTGCTATTTGGAAGCCCATCCTCTGCATAACCAAAAGTGCTTTTGGTAAAAGCACAAGCTAATTCCTGCATAACCAAAAATGTTTATGGTAATTATGGAAACTCATATGAGATCAATATGCAAAAACACAAACTGGTTTTTTTCCCCCTCTCTGTCCATGTAGCTGAATGAAACCTTGTTCTTAGATCACAAGATGGCTGCAAATGCATATAGCCAAAAGGGAAAAGATTTATGACGCAAAGATGCAATTTTCTTTTTTTTTCTTTTGTCTGTGTGGGGGCAATTTCTTTTCTCTTTCTGATATGTGGGATAACTTCAATGATAGGTTTTGGTGTCTGTTTTTGCTTTACTAATAATTCCCTTTCCCTGTTTAAGCTTGGATCCTTTTTTTTTGCATTAACGTTCATTCATACACATTCTTCCCATAAGATTTGGGCATTTGGTCTAAAAGTATAGGCTATTTCAATTTCCAATCATTGCTTTTGATATATAATTTTGTGTGAGAATGATCCCAAGATAAATTTACTGAAGTAGTCATAGAAGTCATCAAAAGCAAAATATTAAAAGGAAAACCCAAATCCAATTCCTGACAGCAGAATTTGGCTTTTCTTATGATTGACTGCTTTTTTTCTTTTCTTCTTTAATCTCTTTAATTTTTGGTTCTGAATGTAAACTTGTTGACTGCTTTTCTACCTTGGCATTTGATTCCCTGCTGAATTTAAATGCCCCTGTTACATTCTCTTCGGTAATGTGTTAATGTGGCTTCCCCTTTTTAATGGTTAGGCTTAGGCCACTTAAAGTATAATAACCTATCAGTTCAGTTGTGAATTTAAATGAGTTATGCAATATTGAAGTGAACTCTCTCTCTCTCTCTCTCTCTCTCTCTCTCTCTCTCTCTCTCTCTTCCCTAGTTTCAAGGCTTTCAAGTATGCCTTTTGTTTCTTCTCTCTGCAACTGCAATGAAAAGAATGGGGAGGAGAGAGAGCCAGACACCTCTTTTAAAAATGCTGTGTGTTACAGCTGGGACAAAAACCATTCCCTACAGGCCTCAAAGGATTATCTTATCACAGAAACCAAGGTTCATTTTGATCATCCACTCATCATTCTTTCAAAGGATTCAAAAGTTGGTGGCTGGCTGTACGTAAAGTTAGCTAGCTAGGCCACTGCTTTATACAATTATTATTCCAATAAATACAACAACCTTAGCCCTTCTTCAGCACTCAGGTGTAGTAATTATAATAAACAAAACCCAAAAAAGGAAACTTAGGCATATATTATATACACACATAGGAGGAGGAATGAAGTTGAATCTTTACACTGTACAAAAATGCATATATGGATATGTTTTGATGCAACACTTTGTTAATTTGGCCTTAGTTAGGAGCTAGAAGCTGCTGTTATGGGGAAGGGGGACCAGTTAAAGGCTCTGAGCCCCGTGCTGGAAGTGGAAGAGCTGCTCATACACTTAAGGCCAGGGCCTGAAATGTAGAAACAACTTTTCTTTGCGCACCCATATATCTTTGGACAAGTGGACGCATTATCTGATAATACTTGCAATTAGAAGTTAATTATGGGATTAATTAATATAAGCAGACTGCAGGCCCCCACTAGAAGTAGTGGATTGGCTTTTTGAATCAAGTGGCCTTATTTGGTATTTCCATACATAATGGGGTTGGATCATCATCATCATCATCATCATAGTTTTAGTGTTGATAATCTTAAAGACTTTCAGAGGGAAATGGAAAAGAAAAGGGGAGTGCACTGACTATATGCAGGCCTACTTTGATCCATGCAAATAATTGCACTGCATCAAACATCATCTGCAAACTCTTTCCATTGTTGCCTTCGTGATGTTGAATTTTGTTCATCAGCTTCTCTTTCTTTCAGTGGCACTGGATTTATTACTGTATATTCGTTCGTTGTCGTTAGCGTAGAAATGGCTGGTGGTTTTGCATTTTGTAGAAATGGCTGGTGGTTTAGTTGAATCTTAAGACTTTCAAGAATGATGCCTTCTGTTTTTAGCAATAATTAATAAACCTTTTTTTTTATATAAAAAAATGCTAGGAAGGGAAAATTTATAGTACTTATTTCTCAGTTCTTAAAATATACAAGCACAAATTTATTAACTTTAGTGTGATCTTTAAATGGAATAAATAATATGCATAATTCTGAAGAGAACTTCTGGAATATCTTCTGCTGACTCCACAAATGAAACCGTATGAGGAAAGAATAACGTAATTAAACAGCTCAGACTCGATTGTGGGGGTTGGTTGATCACATTGCATACAAGTAACAGCAGCACTGCCTACAAAGTAATAATCTTTCCTCCACGTTGAACTACCAGCTTGGGTAGAGAAAATGTTGGTAGGAAGCACTTTAGCCAGAATGCCACAATCTTTCCATTTTCCAGACAGCTCTAAGTAGCAATTTCTCCTTTTCTTCCTGTTTGTCCAATGTTACTTCCAATGCTCGGGCTGTTGTCGTGCAAAACCTGGCTGAATGGTGCAATTGATGATGTGCGGTCCAAAAAATATCACAAACCAGAAACATGGATATGCAAGCTGCATCAGTTACATAACTAAGAAACTTATACATAAATGATTAATGAGAGAGGGGCGCCACGGGACTTTCAGGGGGAAGAGATTTTAGTGAGAAGTCCCTCTTAACTATTTCTTAGAAGTTTCATATGCGTGTGATTCATTTATACCAAACACATTAATAAAAAAGAAGTGAAGAAAAGACAATGGGAACTGTTAGATTACCTGAAGAAGCATGGAGGGAGCTCCAGAAGGTTCAGAAATGACATGGCTTCTAGTTTTCCTTCCATTTAGTGTAGCTACTGATGGGCTGTTTGCCGTAGTTATGTCCCAAAAGCTTCGTTTTTTAGCCGTTGGGACTGGTGACCTAAAACGGTGACTTGGACTCTTCAGCTCACCAGTGCTTGGCTCCTGTGGTCTCAAGCTAGTCCTTGGCTCCTGTGGTCTCAAGCTAGTCCTTGGTTCCTGTGGTCTCAAGCTAGCCCTTGTAACTATCCTCTTTGTTCCCCCCTCCCTCCCTGCTGCTCCTGGTGTTTTTTCACTTTTCCGTGAAAGCTCACGAATGAGATCATCCTTTTGCTTTAGATGTGAAGTGTGATCTTTCTTCATCTTCTCTATTTCTGCTTCCAATGCCTTTACAGTCTTACGAAGCTCTCTAACTGCTTCCTCAGCACCTTTTTTCTTGGATTCTGGTGTGAAACAATTCCCAGTCAAGAAAGAGGGTCTGGGTTTCCGCTTCTCGTTTGGTTGGGCAGAAGTTGGAGGAGTCAAAAGAGATGTAACTGAAGAAGGGGTTGGAGAGGCATTTGCAGCCAAGGATTGTGCTTGTATAACTAATAACTTCTGTTGCTGATGTGCTAGTTGTACTCGCAGTTCACGATTCTCTTTCTGTAGTTCAAGTAATAGCTTGGCCTGATCAGTATCAGATTCAGGTACTTGCAGTACTTCCTCGTTCACATCACATGCCTGCAATAGTGAAAGATGGCAAGGAAAGACAATATTTAGAGTTGCCATAGTGGAGTTACCATGAAAGTTTTCGCCTAAATTTTGTAACTGATAGAAATCAAAGCATGAAACTTTGGGGAAGATAGAAACCAATGCCTGTTAAGCGAAAGACATGCAACATCATATGCCATGAGTCTAGATAGTCAGAGAATTATTCAAGTCTTGACATTTCAACATAACTTGCAAAATACTACTGACACAACACTCTCAGATGGGCTACAAATAAAGAATGGCAGTTGAAAAACAAAAGTTAGGAGGATTGACCTTTGTCCTAATTTCCTTTGCTCGATCAGCCCAATGAAGAGTGTTTTGGGTTTCACCAAAGGAGAGACTACATGGGCTGATATTAGCAATCATCACAGTGTTACAAGCTCCTCCTAAAGAATCTTTGAGAAGTTGGGTCAACTTTGAATTCCGATAAGGTATGTGTTTCTTCCCCTCCACTAGAGCATTGATACAGCTGCTCAGTGCGAGGAGTGACCGATTTATGTTGGCACCCTCGAGAGATCTAACTGTCCTCTGATCCGTGGCAAGGGCTCTCTCTGACCCGGCAAGATCAATAAGTGAGAGCTTGCCAATTCGGTTGACCACATTCATGGAAGCATCTTTTACCCGGTATTCAATCACAACCTGGATATAGAAGGAGAGCAAATTAGAAAGATAGAAAGAAACTGAGGAAGTTTCTTCAAAAGCCATATCTCTATTGTTACCTGCAAAATAGCATGGGACCGTGAGGAAGTTTCATTAGCGCGAGTTGGTTCAGTAGTTCGGTTTTGGTTTCCCTGCTGAAGCAATGCCATGACCTGCCACAAACCCAAAGATAGACCAAACAACAGATTAACTCCCAAACAAAGCATCTAATCTTTCAAATCATCAGAAAAGATGGTAAGAAATTACTTCATCGGTGGAATAAGCTCTGTATTGTGTAAGTCCGGCTGCCACTATTCCCTGTAATACATTTGAACGAATATTGTTTAAACACTAACATCTTAGGATGAGTTTCAAATAAAAATAAATGCCATATACTTTTACTTATAATTAAACTTAGTTTAATTAACTGGCGCTAACAACTAAGCTTTCCATAATCAGAAGCTTTACCACATAAAACAAATGAGATGCAAATGGAAAAAGTACGTTTTGGGCGAAATGATGCAGCTAGTTTCAAAGCAATAAGCTACATTGCTCTTAGATTTTCCCCACTGTATATTTTGGCAAACACACAGCAAACAAATAAAGCGTGATCTTGATAAACATCATTTAATCTTAGAGATAAGAATTCCATTTCTGAACATTGTCTAAGGTGGTAAAACATTTGTAGTGTACAACTTCTGTTTGTGACATTATTATAACTCTTAGAGTACATCTGGTAACTTAGTTTTCTTTTCTTGTGAATGGTTGTAAGTAAAGTAATGTAAGATACAAGATAAGAGGCGGACCTGTTTGTCTTCTCTAAGTACCAGAGGCCTTCCAGGAGAGAGCAAATCCCTGACACTTTCATTATAGACCTCAAGATAGGACAGATGAACCACATGGTTTCCATCACAGCTCCTCTTCCTTATCTTGGTAAAGAGGTCCTTGATTGCCAAAACCATAACTCCCGGATTCTCCAGCGTGCCTAGCATTGTGTATGTTTTTCCAGCTCCTGTAGCACCATAGCAGAAGACTGATCCATTCCTTCCCTGCAGAACTGCTTCCACAAGCTCTGCCGTACTGAAAACTTAGACAGGGTACACCAGGTTAGTGAATGTTTATGGAAACCACACAATGATTCGCAAAAAGGAGACAGTTTCAGCTCTACCGAGATAAACAACATTAGCAGCAATTCTTTCATGGCAATTACTCTTTCTGTTTGGTTGATGACAAATGTATTGGAAAAGTGATTTATCAATTCAAGACCCCAAGAAACCAAACTCACAGCTATATTGCAACAAAACTACCATCAGCTTAGTTGTAGAATGTTTTCCATTTCTTGTGATCCAACACAATAAGAACCCTTACTTCTCCTTGTTTTTCTTTTTCCTCAACAGACAAACAGGAAAAATGAAACAAACCAACACAATTAAGATGGTAATGAAGAATTTGAATGCATAATTGAAGCTGAAGTTTATGCGCAAAGATGGAACATTTTCAAGCAGAGAGAAAGGAACAATACAAAACTAGAACAATGCAAAACAAGAAATGATTTATTGGATGAGTATTACAGTGCGTTTGGATAAGAGAAATAAATTTGGGATTTTGACAAAAATCAGAATTTCTAAATTGACATGAACCAATTCCCGTGTTTGGATAAAAAAAACATAGAAATTTAGAAATTCCGCGTGGGAAAAAACATGGAATTTGGAGATCATAAATCCAAACTTTAAATTCTATCTAAAAGTCGTCATTTCTAAAATCCCAAGAGAGATTGAGTTTTTAAAAAATATAACTTTACAAATAAAGGTTAAATTTTGTGTTTTAAATCTATCATCCAAATAATAAACTTTACAAATTCTAGAACATTAATTTCCGTCATTTTAAATTCCGTCATTTATGAAATTCTTTGTACTTTTAAATTTCCACATCCAAACGCACAAGAACAAGTCAAGAAGGAAAAATGCAAAACAATTACAAGAATTATATAAAGTTTCATTAGACGAGTATTAAAAGGTCCAATAAATCATTGATATCCAATTAAACAAAAACTCACGTGGTGGAATAAACTTCTTGTTGAGAAGTGGTATCTGGGAAAGAAGCATCGAAGGTGAAATGTCGTCCTCGAAGACGCTTCAGCCTCAGATAATCGTTCTCGTTCGCAAACTCCGTGAGATAAACGTCACGCCTGTTCACAATTCGAACACAGCACCGAGAACCCACTTCCTTCTCCTTCTTGGCCATCGGCCTGAGCCTCACAAACACAAGAATCCGACTTGTGTGTTTCTCTGAAGCCGAAGTGGTCTCCGATTCTAGAACATTCTTAGTTCCCTCCGCCCCTTTAGACTCTGGCTGCGGCACGTGACCTCCCATTGAGAGCCTCCGTGCTACTGCAGTAGAAGCCTTGGCCTTTCTCGGGCACGAAGTAAAGCTGAGAATTTTGTCATTGCCGCCCACCACATTCTCTTTGGCGTCATGGGTTGGTGGTTGAGGCAGAACATAAGTTCTTGTAATGGTGGAGTTGTGCATTGTGTTGTTGTTCTCTCGCATCACATGGCTAGGCTTCGATTCTTTATCTTCTTTTTTACAAGAACCAAGAAGCTCGACGCTCGGGTGAGCTGTGAGCCGCAGCTCCTGATCGGTTTTTGAAGACTGGTTCCTGAGAGCTGCCGAGGCTTGCTTTTGCTTCTCATAGAGCTGAGTTAAAGCTTTCATCTTTTCTTTCAAGCCATGGTGGGGGTTTCTCAGTGGAATATTCGCATGGTTTTGTTCTTGATCTGACCAGGGTTTGCTACTCTCCAAAGGGTTTGGTTGCCCTTGGTTGATTTGAGATCGAGTTGAGACAGGCATCCTATGATTTTCTCACTATCCAAACATGCCCAGAAAATTTTCACGCCGACCCAATCGAAGAAACTGCTAAAAATGCCAGAAAGTTCAAAACTTTGCCTTGGAAATCAATTGAATGCCACTGTTGAAGAGTGAATAGGTGAACAGCGGAAATGGAAATAGAAGGAAGATCAAGATTGTGATTTGGGTATTAACTTTGGAGGGTCTTTGAGCCGTTAGATTGAGGGACATCAACGGTAGGTAGTGTCAGTTTTGAAGGTAGTTGCTACTTCCACTCAAGATTCTGCTTCTTGCCCACATAAATTATTGATTTAGTTTGAACTTTTTGGCTTAATTGGGTGGAAGAAGCAAACAATGCAAGGCTGTTAAGGGTATTGCATTTGAAAATTTTGAATGACCTAATGTAACGGTCAAAATGTTGTCAGATTTTGTAGCCGGTAGGAAGAGAACTGTGGGGTCCATTTTGAGGAAATTTCACATTGCACGGGAAACCCTCTCCTCTTTATATGGTGAAATCATTAAAGATGTAATCTTTTTTTAAAGTAGCAGGGCAGGGGTTGTATTGTATGTTGTACAGCAGCAGCAGCATTTTCTCTTTCTCTCTCTGTTTTTTTTTCTCCTTATTATCACTTACTTGTAATGGATCAATACCCAAATCACACAATAAATATTATATTATAAAGTAGTAATATTTTCCTATTCATTTGGATTTAAGAATTAAAAAACTACTAGGAAGTAATTCCCATCAAAGAAGAAACTCTTATTTAAGGTTTACCAACTTTAAAAGTCAAACACTCTGGAAATAATATTGTGTGTCTTCTGGTAAAGTAAGGAGCATTTGAACCAGTAAAAACTTGTGCCATTTGGATCTGAAAAAACAATGTTTGATAGACAAACGGCTGATGCATGTTATTTTGTTGTTGTTAAATTAGCTTTATTGTCAATTCAATTTTCTGTTAATTACACGCAATATTGGGGGCTATGATTAAAGTTTTGTCTGTATAAACAAATGCCTTCTAAGAGAGGCCATCAGAGCAACCCATCGAATTATGATAATTCATGCATATGTTAAAGTAGAGCAGCTCGTAATCATACTTCATCTCTAGTAATTTATGTATAATTTACCTTATCATAATGATACTTGATGATTGAAGACTGGTTGCTTTCAAAAAAAATACCATGATTTGGTGGGTTTTTGGAGCCGCGTCTTATATAAGCAATGCAATCAACTTTGCCATAATTTGGTGGGTTTTTGGTGCCACATCTTTAAGATTAAGTTGGTGTACTAGAAGGGGTTTTGTTGCTCAAGTTGTTAAGAGTAGTTATCATGCACTCGATGTTCGAATTCTCTCTCTTTTAATATCACTTGTGTAAGAAAAAAAAAGGTAAAAGTTTATTGAGGCACTAATTATATATGAATGTATCGGCCGTACACCAATTGATTAGCTTGTTTATTCTTATGATGATCAGATAATTTGGTAACATGCTCAAGATATATTTTGTCACTGAAACAAAACTTCAATTTTGGTTTTTGATATTTTGTTATTCTGGTCATGATCTTTAATACAGGGCCTAAGTTTTCTGTTGAGCTGGTTTGGGCCAAATAGGCCCATATTGAAACGTAATATATATATATATATATATATATATATATAAAGGTTGAGCCCGAGAAATAAATGCCATGGAAATGCTATAGCGGTCTCGTTTCGTAACAGGCCTGGTTGTCGGGTTGAGTCTGGATCTGTTAGCCCAAATTTGGGTGGGCCCAAACCGCATAGTGGACTCGTCCGAGTCGAGCGAGTAGATTTACAGCGACGCATAGTGGCTAGGGTTTAACAACCACCAAACCCTACTAAAATCACAGAGCTCCTTTTCTCTTTGTTTCAGCTCGAGAGAGAGCTTGTCTTCTTCTTCTGCGCCCCAGAAAGTGTAAAGCTCCAATTCCTTAGAACCAGTCGCCATGACAGACGCAATCCCTTACGCATCTCCGGACGACGAGACGAAGAAGAAGAAGCGCAAGAGAAACAGAGGGAAGAAACAATCAGAATCGGCAGACACCGAACAAGCAGAGCCTCAAAACCCTATTCCGACAAAACAAGAAGAAGAAGAAGAAGAAGAAATAGAAAAAGAAGAAAAAGGAGAAGTTGAGGAACAAGCTAAGGATGAAGAGAAGAAGACTAAGAAGAGGAAGAGTTCGAAGGGAGAGGAAGCAGAGGCTAAAACCCCTAGCGAGAAGAAGGTGAAGAGTGATGGAGCGTCTGGGATTATGAGCACACAGTCCTTTGCTTCCTTGAATTTGTCTGAGAACACTTTCAAGGCCATTCAAGAAATGAACTTTCAGTATATGACTCAGGTAAATTCCCTGCTTGAATTGGATTTCCTTAGCTCATAGCTCCTCCTAGCTTATGGGTTTTGTTTTTTAATTTTAATAAAATTTAGAAGCTATCATATTGGGAATTGCCTTCAAATTTAGAAGATATCTTTTACTTTTTGTTTACAAAAGTTGTAGATGATTTGGGCTTATTTAAATTTCCAATTAATCACAAATGCAGATCCAAGCCAGAGCAATCCCACCACTCTTGATCGGACAAGATGTCCTCGGAGCTGCAAGGACAGGATCTGGGAAAACTCTTGCTTTTCTAATACCAGCTGTGGAGCTGCTATATAACACACATTTTGCTCCTCGTAATGGAACAGGTGTTGTTGTGATTTGCCCAACACGGGAACTTGCAATACAGGTGAAAATCCTGCCATATTGCTGTTATTTGTTTTGATTTGTTACATTTTCTCCAATAGCATGGTGGAGGTCGCTCCAATTCAAGAAGACCTTTTCGATGTCTATACAAATTTCACATCATCTAAGTTAAAATTAGTTTGCGCCTTCTAATGTACTAGTAAGCACAAATTTTTTTCTTCACATTGAACATCTAAGGCTACTTCTCTTTGAATGATGACGCCATTCTCCAAAGAACCTTAGTAAAAGTAGACTTTGTTACTGTAATTGTATGTATTAGTGGGCTTTGACTCGGTATTTGTATTTGCTTGATATGAAAGTTAACTTTCTCCATATTATACAAATTTTACAAAAATAAATTGTGCTTTATTACATTTTATGCTGTCGCATTCTAAGATTTACATTTGAAGCCCTTCATTTTTCCCTGACTATTTCTCTTTTCAAATTCATTCAGACTCATGCCGTGGCAAAGGACCTTCTAAAATATCACTCACAGACTCTGGGCTTGGTTATCGGAGGTTCAGCCAGGAGAGGAGAAGCAGAACGTATTGTAAAAGGAGTAAATTATTGGTTGCAACCCCTGGTCGACTTCTTGACCATCTTCAGAATACCAAGGGATTCATATATAAGAACTTGAAGGTGCCATGTATATATTCTTCTGTAATACTGTTGTGGTTGTTTCAAAAATATTTTTAACTGGTTATTTTGTGAAGTGGTGCTAATTGCTACGGGTGGCTTTCTGATTTAAAGAAAATTCTATAATTGCTTCCTCGACTTTGGAGTATTTTACTGTAGTTATTCATCCTTTTAATGAAATACTGAGTTGTAGTTCAGGATCCTACTGCAACTTGTGTTGTTTGTTAGAGACTAGAAACATCACAACATCTGACAATCTCTAGTTTCATTGTTCTTGTGGACTTGCAGTGCCTCATGATTGATGAAGCTGACAGGTTATTGGAAGCAAACTTTGAGGAAGAAATGAAACAGATTATTAAGTATCTACCGAAGGTAAACTATTTGATTTACTTTTCTACCTCTTGTGCTACAAAAGGCTGCAAACCATAGATGCATCCTGCTCGCAACATATGTTTCTGGTTTTCTTTTAATAGGAGCTTGTAGTTTGGTTAATTGTGTATGGCTATCATTCAGCCTGGATAAATGAATTTTATGGGTTTAGTTGCAATTTAGAATTGTTTTTTACCTGGTAGTATTCTTTGGCTGATTGAATTGCTAATGGACGTGCAGGATAGGCAAACAGCTTTATTTTCAGCAACCCAAACTAAGAAGGTTAGTGCATTATATCCACATCTCATAGTAGTCAATCTCTTTGTGCATTGTTTTTAAATGGTTTAGCTTAAATTCATATGCATCACACGTACGCACATATGTTACATGAATGCCTTGCCCTGATAAAACTTTTCCTGTTAAACCTATAGGTTGAAGATCTTGTTAAGTTGTCGTTTCGGAAAGATCAGAAACCTATCTATGTTGATGTGGATGAGGGGAGAACTAAGGTAGGAATCCGGATGGTTTTATGCATTCCTTATTTGACATTTGCTTTGTGTTGATATCTATTATGAATATAAGCCTACTTCGTATTCTATACATGTATATTATATACATTTCTTGTGATTTAGCCCTAATCATTAGAATCTGACAAGGTTTTGTGCACCATAGGTCACCAATGAAGGGCTGCAGCAAGGTTATTGTATTGTGCCTAGTGCCAAGAGATTTCTTCTTCTATATTCTTTCCTGACGAAGAATCTTTCTAAGAAAGTGATGGTCTTCTTCTCTTCTTGTAACTCCGTCAAATTCCACTCCGAACTGCTTAAATACGTTAATGTGGATTGCTTTGATATTCATGGAAAGCAAAAGCAGCAGAAGAGGACAACTACCTTTTTTGATTTCTGCAAAGCAGAGAAAGGAATCTTACTTTGTACCGATGTTGCTGCTCGTGGACTGGATATTCCTGCTGTGGTATATTTCCTTTTTCATTTTGACGTAGGCTCAAACTTCAGAAATTTATTGTTCTTATTAGTTTTTCTACCATTCAATGATTTTATCTACGACAATAGATATCCCAATGTATTTAATCAGAATGGCAACATTCTTGAGCTACAATCCTTCCTTCCTTTTTCTCATAAGTTATTTTTAAGAACCTATTATGATTACTTAATGGGAATTCGGTTGCTGCTAATATCCTGCCATTGTTTTATCCTGTTTTAACATTAAATTATGTAGGTATTCTTCTTAATTATATTAGCAATATCTGCAATAAGCAAATGCTGATGGTAATCTTATGCTTATTTTTCCTTTTCTTTTATTGTAGGACTGGATTTTGCAGTTTGATCCTCCGGATGAACCCAAGGTGTCTAATACTTCTTTACTAATATATTTCTAGTACTTTTGGTATCTTGTGATTCTTCTTCATTCATGCTGAATACAGAGTATAATGGGATATCTGCTTGCAGGAATATATCCACAGGGTTGGTCGAACAGCTCGAGGGGAAGGTGGAAAAGGAAAGGCACTACTTTTCCTCATTCCTGAAGAGTTGCAATTTATACGCTATTTGAAGGTATGCTTTTCGTAAGTTGTAGAAATAAACAGAAGCAAGCTGACCCCCCTCCCCCAAAAAAGAAAAGAAAAGGATAAAGTACCATGCTTTACAGAATGGTGTATGCATGTAAAGCAAGCTTTATTGAATATCTCGCCAATATCTTTTGTTTATTTTGTTTTCAGGCTGCAAAAGTCCCTGTTAAAGAGCATGTATTTAATGAGAAGCAGCTGAAAAATGTGCAGTCACAGCTGGTAATTTCCTGTTAGTTGGTGTTCAGTTGTTATCTACTTTTATACAATAACTGGTTCGAAGGAAACTTATGTATTGCTTTGATTGCTGCAGGAGAAAATGGTTGAAGGCAACTACTATCTGCGCAAATCAGCAAAAGAGGCGTATACATCTTATTTATTATCATATAATTCACACTCCATGAAGGACATCTTTAATGTTCACCGCCTTGATCTTCAGGTACTCATCCTTGTTTGGTTTTCACAACAGCTTGTGACTATTTGTTTTTGTTCAGTGTATCTCCTTGTCCGTGTTTTATAGCATAGAACACCACACTGTATTTTAGATCACTTGGTAAAAACACTCGATACATGCGTTTCACCTATCAATTGAAAGTAAAAGTTCTGGTCCAACCCTAAATAGCATCACCTTTTGGTAATTTACACATGTCTTCCTCCTTTTCCAAAAAAAAAAACATATTTCTTCCAACAATATGAACTAGTGCTGAAATTAGAATTTCTCTAAAAATCCTTGGATTTATTATGCTTCAATATGTTTTGTGGCATCCGATTTAATTGCAAAGTGGCTGGAATTGGACAGGCGGTTGCAGCTTCCTTTTGCTTTTCTAATCCACCCAAGGTGAATTTGAACTTAGACAGCAGTGCATCAAAGTTCAGGAAGAAGATGCGTAAAGTAGAGGGAAGTCGAAATGGATTCAGTGAGAGCAATCCTTATGGTAGACAAAAAGTTGGTGATGACAATCGACAATTTGTAAGGCATTAGAGGAGCCTTCGTGTGTGCAGTAAATTTTGCTTTTTTATCTGTTTTCCTTGCAACAATATCTTATGTATTCATTTACTGCTGAAGTTTTGTAGCTGAAATTGAGACTGTAAAATGCAATTTTGATTGATGGCGAAAATGCAAGTCATCCGCCCTAGTTACCTACTTAGTGTACCATTTTATATTTGATACAGTTGCATACATTGGTAACCTTGTCAAATTGACAGAGAGATGAAGAACAACCGGGAAAGAGAGCCCATTTGAATTCAAAAAAATCAGGCCTTTTCTTCATTCTCCATTTCTTAATTCATTATATTCTGCTTTTTCTCTGTTTTCCTTGCAAAATATCTTATGTATTCATTTCCTCAAAGTCATGGCATTTGCTAATGCATCTGAAATTGCTTGTTAAAAAATGGCCATCTCTTTCCTTGGTGCTGGTGGTATATAAACTGCAAGTATACAATTAATCCAGGGTCCGAAGGCTCAAAGCTCAAAGTCAAGGCATTTGCTAATGGATCTGAGAATTAGAGAATTCGGTTACCTGGGCTGTAGACATGTACCGCGTCGTTCCCTTCCACGTGAGGAAAGTTCCTAACTCTGCTGGGCTGAGCTTTTGGTGAGAAGTCCAGAAATCCTTCACAGTCAAAACATCAAACACTTAGTCGACAGCACGATCGAAAGTTCAAAACCATTCCAAAACAAGGCAAAAAGAGAGAAAATTGATTGGAAGTAGTTACCAAGGGAATTGGAGCTGTTGAGCAGTGACAGAGCTTGATTCTTCGGAGCTGTTGAGCTCTGGTGGTGGCGGTGGAATTATATATTTAAAGAGTATAATAGGGAAGGAAATTATACAAACCCAAAAAGTATATTCAAAGCGTATAGCCGTCCGGCTATAATTATTAAATATAATTTTTTTATTTAAAGAGTATCGCCGAACGGCTATACTCCTTAAATATATTTTTTAATTTAAATAGTATAGCCGAACGGCTATACGCCTGTAATATAATTTTTTAGTTAAACAGTATAGCCGACCGGCTATACCTCTTAAATTAATTTTTTATTTCTAGAGTACAGCCGTCCGGCTACCCTCTTTAGATATATTTTTTAGGGAGTTTCACTAAAACACCCAAAATGAAGGTTGAAATTATAAAAAAACCCAACACCCAAAACACTTTATAAACACACCCAAAACCCATCATTACACACACTCAAAACCCATTTATAAACACACCCAAAAAGTTGACTTTGGGGTTGATTTTGGGTGTGTTTCTATGTTTAAATAGTGCTTGGGTTTTTTTTATAAATACATGTCTAGGATTGGGTTTATTTATAAATTTGTATATTTTTTATTTAAACAATCTATACGCCTTGGATATATTTTTTATTTAAATAGTAAAGCCGTCCGGCTATACTCTATCGATATATATATTTTATTTAAATAGTATAGCCGACCGGCTAGACGTCTTAAATTCTTTTATTTAAATGGTTGCACCATTGTTGGAGAAGAAGATGGAATGAGCAGAAAGGCATTTTTCGTACTCGTCCTTGGTCTCCGCCATCACCGAGTCTTTGGTGTAGTTGAAATCTAAGTCCGTGTAAAACAAAGCAAAATAACATTACCCAAGTGTCAAGCTTAATTAGGAAAAAAAGCTCTTTTGATACAAAGGATATTGCAGGAGGTTCTTGAGAGAGAGAGAGAGAGAGAGAGAGAGAGAGAGAGAGATAGAAGGAGACGACAGTAGGTTTTCTTGAAAGTCAGGAAAAGAAAATCTATATAAAATAAATAGGGCCCGCCTAGGCGGCCGCCTAGCGCCTAGCCACCGCCTAGGCCGATTTTTCGAAAAAGACCATCTATTAGGTCAGGGCAAGGCATAGAAGTGTTGAAGAATGAGTTTCTGTTGATCTCCAAAGTCCAACACAAGAATCTTGTAAAGCTCATGGGTTGCTGCATTAAAGATGATGAGAAGTTGATGCCAAACAAAAGCTTGGATATGATATTATTGGGTTAGTTTCTCTGGCCCTTTACGTTTGGCTGCAATTTCTCATTGTTACCTATCTTTCTTCAATATCCTTGATAATGTCTGAGCTCTTCCTATCCTTGTATGCCCAATTCATGGGAACTATTGATTTCATTTCTAATGGCAATGAGAAGAGCAGTGCTTGACTGGGCTAAACGGTTCAATATTATTTAAGGTGTTGCTAGAGGACTTGTTTATCTCCACCATGATTCCTGTTTGAAGGTGTTGGATGAGAAGATGAGGCCAAAATTTTCAAATTTTGGTTGGCACGTATCTTCCAAGGGACACAGAATCTAGCAAACACTCAGAGTCAGAAGGTTGTGGAAACTCTGTAAGAATCATTTCTTTCCTACTACCAGAATTGTTATTATTTCCCAACTAAACTTGTGTAATATGCTTTTTAGCATGTTATATCAGGAATAATAATGAGTTAGTGGATAATGAATTTCCTGTACAGTGTGCAGCTATATGTCTCTGGAGTATGCCTGCTGTGGGCGGGATATTTTCTGAAAAATCTCATGCATATAGCTTTGGGGTCTTGCTATTGAAGATTATTGGTGGCAGGAAAAATACCAGCTTCTATTACCATGACCAACGGCTCCTATATTTACTTTCCAAAGCTGTCTTTGATCCTCTACCACAGTATGACAATATTTGCTCCGCAAATGAAGCTACCATAACACTGCTTAAAGGATGATAAGCGATACACCGGTCTGCAAGTGAAAACCCTTTTCCACTGGACCCGTTGGCATATAAGTTTTCCCTTTGGTATAGAAATCAACCCTTTTGTTTTTTTTTAATTGGGATAGTGAATCAAGGTTTTCTCTTCACGGGAAACTTTGTTAAAATGCACCAAAAACAAAAACACATTATAAGACTGGTGTTAGTATAACATCCCGTTAATGTCCTGATCCCGTTAAAGGAAAAAAGTTTTGGGTTCAACTGCACTTGCCTTGTTATTTTTCGACAAATTGTGATTGTCCAACACATAATATGTGACAGCAATAACAAAACTTCATCCTTCAAATTTGGTTCTAATTCAAGGTCCATTTAATTGGATTTGAAAAACCAAATTGACATCTATCAAAAAGGTAAATAAAGTTTTCAGCTTTAAAACCCAAATGAGAGAAGGCATTCAGTTTTCAGCTTTATTTCATCTCTACATTATTAGTATACGAGAGTTATCTCGTTTATGGTTTTTACTAAGATGGATGCAAATAATTTGTTCAAGAGTTAAAAACCAATCTGTACCAAAAAAAGAAGAAGATAAATAATAACAATAATAACAATTCAATAGAGAAATATCATACTTGAAACAAATTTACTTTCATAATCTCAATCAGTTCCAGTCCTACACTCCTTTTAATCTCAACTGACCCAATTAATGGAAACAAACTAAAGAAAAAACCTAATTAAGAACCAGGGGTATGGGAAAAAACAGCAAAGAAGAATATAGTAACCATCACTGATCACAGCATTCAGAAGAAAAGGACCCCCACAAATGACATAATGCAGGACGTGAGAGTTGCAGAAGAGATGGTGGCCATTGCAACTGCAGCATCATTCTTCTGCTTGTTCTGGTCAGCAGATTGGGGTGGGCTTGCTGGTTCCAACACTTTGATGATCATCTTCTGGCCTCTCTCGCAGTGCCCAGAAACCCCACTAATGAAATAGAACAAACCAGGCCGGTCCAATGTGAACACAGTCACACCATTGTTGGAGAAGAAGATGGGATGAGCAGAATGGCATTTTTCGTACTCGTCCTTGGTCACCACCAGCACCGAGTCTTTGGTGTAGTTGAAATCTAAGTCCATGAAAAACAAAGCAAAACAATATTACCCAAGTAAGAGGCAAGCTTAATTAGAGAAAAAAAAAGAGGAAGCTTTTTTGATACAAGTGATATTGCACGAGAGAGGCTTCGAATTCAGGACCTCGGGTGCAAGGGTAATTGTTCTCAACCGCTTGAGTTACAAACCCCTTTACAAAAGTAATTTGGAGGTAGGGTTTAGGTGCTTAATTAAAGAGTGTATGTAGATATAGAGGGAGTACTTACGGAGAGTGTCATTGACCTTGAACCTGTTATCTGATGCCCATTGGTTATACATTTGTTGGTCATTCTTTGATTTGGGGACCTCCCACCCATTCTTGCCTCCAACTTCAAATTTGATACAAGTTACAAACAACACTTGGAAGGCAGAAAGAAGAAAAAGAAGAAAACTACTTTGGAGGGTTCCATGAAGTAGAATTTGGATTGTGTAGGGAGCTCTCTGATTGGTTGATCTCTAGCGCTAGGAAGAAGAAAGTGATAGTGTTTGATGAGGAAGTCAGGGCATTGGGTTGGACTTAAAAAGAGGGGAGGCTACTGCAGTTGAATTAGTTTGTTACTGAAGTTGAAAAAACAAACTGAGGATTGTTAGGAGTAAAAGGATAAAGTACCATGCTTTACAGAATGGTGTCTGTATGTAAAGCAAGCTTTATTGAATATCTTTTTTTTTCAGAAAGTCCCTGTTAAAGAGCTGAAAAACGTGCAGTCTCAGCTGGTAATTTCCTGTTAGTTGGTGTTCAGTTGTTACCTACTTTTATACAATAACTGGTTCGAAGGAAACTTATGTATTGCTTCGACTGCTGCAGGAGAAAATGGTTGAAGGCAACTACTATCTGCACAAATCAGCAAAAGAGGCGTATACATCTTATTTATTATCATATAATTCACACTCCATGAAGGACATCTTTAATGTTCACCGCCTTGATCTGCAGGTACTCATCCTTGTTTGGTTTTCACAACAGCTTGTGACTATTTGTTTTTGTTCAGTGTATATCCTTGTCTGTGTTTTATAGCATAGAACACCAAACTGTATTTTATATCACTTGGTACATTTACTTGGTATAAAAACACTCGATACATGCGTTTCACCTATCAATTGAAAGTACAAGTTCTGGTCCAACCCTTATGGTATAAAAACACTCGATACGTGTGTGCAGTAAATTATGCTTTTTTTTCTGTTTTTCTTGCAACAGTATCTTATGTATTCATTTACTGCTGAAGTTTTGTAGCTGAAATTGAGACTGTAAAACGCAATTTTGATTGATGGTGTAAATGCAAGTCATCTGCCCTAGTCAAATTGATATTTTTGATCATGAGTTCGTTACCGGTATTGTTCATTCAGGAATTGAGGATTAGTGTACCATTTTATATTTGATACAGTTGCATACATTGGTAACCTTGTCAAATTGACAGAGATAAAGAACAACCGGGGAAAAGAACCATTTCTTCATTCTCCATTTCTTTATTCGGTAAATTCTGCTTTTTTTCTGTTTTCCTTACAAAATATCTTATGTATTCATTTACTCAAAGTCATGGCATTTGCTAATGGATCTGAAATTGCTTGTTAAAAAATGGCCATCTCTTTCTTTGGTGCTGGTCGTATATAAACTGCAAGTATACAATTAATCCAGGGTCTAAAGGCCCAAAGCTCAAAGTCAAGGCGTTTGCTAATGGATCTGAGAATTAGAGAATTTGGTTACCTGGGATGTAGACATGTACCGCGCAGTTAGCTTCCACATGAGGAAAGTTCCCAACTCTGCTGGGCTGAGCTTTTTGTGAGAAGTCCAGAAATCCTTCACAGTCAAAACATCAATCACTTAGTCGATAGCACGATCGAAAGTTCAAAACCATTCCAAAACAAGGCAAAAAGAGAGAAAATTGATTGGAATTAGTAGTTACCAAAGGAATTGGGGCTGTTGAGCAGCGACAGAGGAGAGCTCGATTCTTCGGAGCTGTTGAGCTCTGGTGGTGGCGGTGGAATTATATATAAAATATATATATATATATATTTAAAGAGTAGGGAAGGAAATTATACGCACAAAAATCATATAGCCGTGCGGCTATACTTATTAAATATATTTTTTATTTAAAACTATCGCCGACCGGCTATACTCCTTAAATATATATATATATTTTTTAATTTAAATCGTATAGCCGCGCGGCTATAATCTGTAGATGTATTTTTGGGTTAAATAATATATCCGAACGCCTATACTCCTTAAATATAATTTTTTAGTCAAATAATATCGCCGCATGGCTATACTCTTAATTTTGATGTTTGGTAAAGTATTGGCTTTTCACTCGATAATTTACCGGTAAGTTGTAGTCTTTTCACTGCATCATTTACATGTCGATTAAATATCGGCTTTTCACGCAATAACTTACCGGTAAGTTATAGGCTTTTCGCTCAATCATTTACCTGACGATTAAATATTGGCTTTTCACGCCATAACTTACCGGTAAGTTATAGGCTTTTCACTCCATCACTTACATGATGGTTAAATATTGGCTTTTCACGCTATAACTTACCGGTAAGTTATTGGCTTTTTGCTCTATCACTTACATATTGAGCGTAAAATTATCACACATGCATGCGCACTTATTTGATTGAAGTTGCCATTGTTTTTCGATCAATTTTAACATGCAAATACTAGTCATAACTCTAGGGGTTATTTTTTGTTATTTCAATCCCTAGTATGGACATGAATATATTAAATTAACAAAGACATAACTATTTTTCGTTAGAAAGGTTAAAGAGCGTGCTGTTGAAATTGCCAAGGCCATAGATGACGAAGATGGGTTGATAGGAGCATTGAATGCCTTTCATAGGCACTTTCCTCACAGTAAATCTGAGGATAAACCCGAGTCATTGCTTGCTAGAAGTGGCTTATTTTCCATCAGTAGGTGTTTTGGCTATTCCCATTTCAGTACACATCCCACGGCCTCTCCTCCACATTTGTAAGTTGGAGCAGTTTTTCTCTGTAATGAGGCTGACTTGAGTACCCTATAACAGTAAGAAAAGAAAAGAATACCCACAGATTCTCTTGTAATGACTGCAAAAAGATTCAGTCTCTAAGCCCCAAGTTGTTAGTGTGTCAACTAGCTGAAAATGCAGTTTTGTTTTAGTACACAAAATTGTATTTACAGGCTCCTTTTGCTCTACCATCCCCAACCAACAAACCACCAGTGATAGTGACATGTACATTTATCTTCAAGTTCTCAATCTTGTTGTTGCTATAACAATAATTGTAATAGACGAAGAATTTGCTAAACAGTTCTGTCTTAGTTTGCTAGACCACAGTTTGTCATAAAACTGTGCCACAAAAAAAAAACAAAAAAAAAAAAAGAACAACTAAGGCAGCTTTGAAAAACAAAGACTAAGGGCGTTTGACTAAAACAACCAAAGTCATTCGAAGGTTGGAAAAAACTAAAAGGAGACAAGTCATTTTTTTCCTTGCGTAGAACTCATCGATACGAGTTCATAGACACGTAGTGGGCCTAAATCGCAGTTTTAACGAAGAAGTTACGGTCAGCGGAAGCACAGTGGCACAATTGTAAATATTTCAAGGTCAGAATTTTAAAACCCAGGTCAGCTTTTTTTTCTCTCTCTCTCTCTCCTTGTCGCACAACAACATTTTCCGACGCTGAATCCGGCTTCGTCCGGCCACCGTTTTCGACGAAACGACTTGCAAACTTTTCCTCTCCTCCTCTACTTGACCCACCCAATTTCAAAAACCCGGGTCTCACCCAGGTGCAACCGCGAGATAAAATATATTTTTGGACTCTAATTTGGTCATTGGGATTGAATCCTATTTATTAGATTTGTTAAGTTTGGTTTTGAATTTGTCGGTAGCCTGAAGGGATGTGGTTATAATGTGTTTGTGATTGTGTCGGGGCTGAAACCTATTTTAGATTGATGAATGATTGTGGATTGAGTCCTTACAACTACTTATGACTATGCCTGGAGGGTAGACTGTGCATGCTGAAGTGTGCAAAAAGAGAGAAAATTGATTGGAATTAGTAGTTACCAAAGGAATTGGGGCTGTTGAGCAGCGACAGAGGAGAGCTCGATTCTTCGGAGCTGTTGAGCTCTGGTGGTGGCGGTGGAATTATATAAAAAATATATATATATATATATTTAAAGAGTAGGGAAGGAAATTATACGCACAAAAATCATATAGCCGTGCGGCTATACTTATTAAATATATTTTTTATTTAAAACTATCGCCGACCGGCTATACTCCTTAAATATATATATATCTATATATATTAATTTAAATCGTATAGCCGCGCGGCTATACTCTGTAGATGTATTTTTTGGGTTAAATAATATATCCGAACGCCTATACTCCTTAAATATAATTTTTTAGTCAAATAATATCGCCGCATGGCTATACTCTTAATTTTGATGTTTGGTAAAGTATTGGCTTTTCACTCGATAACTTACCGGTAAGTTGTAGTCTTTTCACTGCATCATTTACATGTCGATTAAATATCGGCTTTTCACGCAATAACTTACCGGTAAGTTATAGGCTTTTCGCTCAATCATTTACCTGACGACTAAATATTGGCTTTTCACGCCATAACTTACCGGTAAGTTATAGGCTTTTCACTCCATCACTTACATGATGGTTAAATATTGGCTTTTCACGCTATAACTTACCGGTAAGTTATTGGCTTTTTGCTCTATCACTTACATATTGAGCGTAAAATTATCACACATGCATGCGCACTTATTTGATTGAAGTTGCCATTGTTTTTCGATCAATTTTAACATGCAAATACTAGTCATAACTCTAACGGTTATTTTTTGTTATTTCAATCCCTAGTATGGACATGAATATATTAAATTAACAAAGACATAACTATTTTTCGGTAGAAAGGTTAAAGAGCGTGCTGTTGAAATTGCCAAGGCCATAGATGACGAAGATGGGTTGATAGGAGCATTGAATGCCTTTCGTAGGCACTTTCCTCACAGTAAATCTGAGGATAAACCCGAGTCATTGCTTGCTAGAAGTGGCTTATTTTCCATCAGTAGGTGTTTTGGCTATTCCCATTTCAGTACACATCCCAGGGCCTCTCCTCCACATTTGTAAGTTGGAGCAGTTTCTCTCTGTAATGAGGCTGACTTGAGTACCCTATAACAGTAAGAAAAGAAAAGAATACCCACAGATTCTCTTGTAATGACTGCAAAAAGATTCAGTCTCTAAGCCCCAAGTTGTTAGTGTGTCAACTAGCTGAAAATGCAGTTTTGTTTTAGTACACAAAATTGTATTTACAGGCTCCTTTTGCTCTACCATCCCCAACCAACAAACCACCAGTGATAATGACATGTACATTTATCTTCAAGTTCTCAATCTTGTTGTTGCTATAACAATAATTGTAATAGACGAAGAATTTGCTAAACAGTTCTGTCTTAGTTTGCTAGACCACAGTTTGTCATAAAACTGTGCCACAAAAAAAAAAAAAAAAAAAAATAAAAGAACAACTAAGGTAGCTTTGACAGGAGAAAAAAAAACAAAGACTAAGGGCGCTTGACTAAAACAACCAAAGTCATTCGAAGGTTGGAAAAAACTAAAAGGAGACAAGTCATTTTTTTCCTTGCGTAGAACTCATCGATACGAGTTCATAGACACGTAGTGGGCCCAAATCGTAGTTTTAACGAAGAAGTTTCGGTCAGCGGAAGCACAGTGGCACAATTGTAAATATTTCAAGGTCAGAATTTTAAAACCCAGGTCAGCTTCTTTTTCCCTCTCTCTCTCTCCTCTCTCTCTCTCTCTCTCCTTGTCGCACAACAACATTTTCCGACGCTGAATCCGGCTTCGTCCGGCCACCGTTTTCGACGAAACGACTTGCAAACTTTTCCTCTCCTCCTCTACTTGACCCACCCAATTTCAAAAACCCGGGTCTCACCCAGGTGCAACCGCGAGATAAAATATATTTTTGGACTCTAATTTGGTCATTGGGATCGAATCCTATTTATTAGATTTGTTAAGTTCGGTTTTGAATTTGTCGGTAGCCTGAAGGGATGTGGTTATAATGTGTTTGTGATTGTGTCGGGGCTGAAACCTATTTTAGATTGATGAATGATTGTGGATTGAGTCCTTACAACTACTTATGACTATGCCTGGAGGGTAGACTGTGCATGCTGAAGTGTGGAAATTTTAAACTGTGTTTTTGACAGGTTGAAAAATTTGGTTAAGTCCGTTTTTCAAGGGAGACTCTGCCGAAATTTCGGTAGAATTCTCGGCCCTCTTTTCCTTTGTTTTAGGGGAAGAGGACATTTGAAATCAGTAAGTGGGCCCGGTATCGGTTGGATGTCGAAAATACCACAGGATCCGTCACGGATTCCGAGGAATTCGGGGCGAGTCCTGTCATTTTATTTGTATTGTTATAGCTTGGTTTTTTCAAGCTTTATCTTTTAATTATTATTTTAAGTTTGAAATCCTAGTTGGGATGCATACGCCAGAGTTTCTTCGATACTGCGTGCTCGTTAGTGGAGGCGCACCAGATTGTCTTAATTTTGATGTTTGGTAAAGTATTGGCTTTTCACTCGATAACTTACCGTAAGTTGTAGTCTTTTCACTGCATCATTTACATGTCGATTAAATATCGGCTTTTCACGCAATAACTTACCGGTAAGTTATAGGCTTTTCGCTCAATCATTTACCTGACGATTAAATATTGGCTTTTCACGCCATAACTTACCGGTAAGTTATAGGCTTTTCACTCCATCACTTACATGATGGTTAAATATTGGCTTTTCACGCTATAACTTACCGGTAAGTTATTGGCTTTTTGCTCTATCACTTACATATTGAGCGTAAAATTATCACACATGCATGCGCACTTATTTGATTGAAGTTGCCATTGTTTTTCGATCAATTTTAACATGCAAATACTAGTCATAACTCTAGGGGTTATTTTTTGTTATTTCAATCCCTAGTATGGACATGAATATATTAAATTAACAAAGACATAACTATTTTTCGGTAGAAAGGTTAAAGAGCGTGCTGTTGAAATTGCCAAGGCCATAGATGACGAAGATGGGTTGATAGGAGCATTGAATGCCTTTCATAGGCACTTTCCTCACAGTAAATCTGAGGATAAACCCGAGTCATTGCCTGCTAGAAGTGGCTTATTTTCCATCAGTAGGTGTTTTGGCTATTCCCATTTCAGTACACATCCCACGGCCTCTCCTCCACATTTGTAAGTTGGAGCAGTTTCTCTCTGTAATGAGGCTGACTTGAGTACCCTATAACAGTAAGAAAAGAAAAGAATACCCACAGATTCTCTTGTAATGACTGCAAAAAGATTCAGTCTCTAAGCCCCAAGTTGTTAGTGTGTCAACTAGCTGAAAATGCAGTTTTGTTTTAGTACACAAAATTGTATTTACAGGCTCCTTTTGCTCTACC